ATATAGGACATGAGGAACTAAACTAAGATAAAACAAAAGAATTCCTTTTCTTTAGGAAAAAACACACAAACTTGACATTTCAGGAAATCTGATTAGGAGAGAGAGCAGAGGTCTACACAGCACGTACAATATGGGCATTCCCAACAGAGGATTAGTAGAGTGGAATAAGTGGCTGGTGGAGAAAGGCCCCGCTGGAACATCAGTGTGACAACAGGAATAGCTGGAGCCTGGTCGGCCTAGATAAACCACAGTGGGCACGCAGAAACTCTGAATCAACGTGTGTGATCGCCTTCTGCCTATTTTTTTTTTTTTAAATCTTGATGCAATATGTTTTAAACTAAAAACTATTCCTATGACTTACCTACATTCAGAATCAATATTTACACCCTCCCCTCCCCTTTTGTTCAGAAGAGTGGCTCAACCACAACTGAGACGGTGAGAGAGAGGTGCCAGTGACACACAGAGAACTGCTTTCTTTGGAACAGAGTACAGAATATAAAGCTGCCAGGAATGAAATGAGAGCTCCACCCTGTAAACAGAGCCTACTTCCTTCTATCACTTTATTCCCAAGAGAATAGATTCATTTTTTTTATTGTTAAATATTGTGTGAATAGAAATACTTCAAATAGGGTATCAATAGCTCCAGGGAAAAAGAAGAAATTAGAATGCTTAGTCCCCTTTCCCAAAATAACGCTCCCTATTCTTACGTATTACTTTGGAAATATTTTTAATATAGTATTTAATAAAATGAAACATGGCAGGGATTGAAGGGATTAGTACAGATACTTTTCCATGACAAGTTTTAGTGTGTTTAGAAAATATCATCTTTCTTGTCCTGTCACTTTTACCTTGTATTTCTGAGGTAACTTTCTGCGTATAATATAAAAAGTAACACAAAAATAAACATAAGTAGCCCCAATTCTTATAGCTCTACTGTAAATAAAGTGCATACCTGATTTAACTGCTGCTATTGCCTTTGCAGGGGTGGTCACAGCACTTATGAGGTTACACAGTGAGATGCCACTGTTGTTTACTTTCTGAATCTCTGGTGTTTTTAAACTCCACTTTTCTTGTAATTTCTTGAGATATAAAAACACATTTTTCAGTCTTAATATCAAAGATGTAAATCAGAATTCAATTTCTTAAACATATTTTAAAGCATATTTTAACAACTGGGGACTCTTTTTGTGAGGGATTTAATGGAAAAGAAAAGTACCATCTTCACCTGCCCCCATGGCCCAGGTCACTGTCAACACCGTCAGCAGTGAGAAGGGGACGGGGCCATTCTGCACTCTGCTCCCAGCCATGGTGGGATGAGGCTGTGCCCTGCTGCCACAGGTTCCTAAGTAACTGTCAACTGCAGGTCTGTAGTGGGACCAGCCACGTTGCAAGAGGAGATGTACACAGGAATTCAGAATTTCACGTCACAGCGAGTTTTCACCATCAAAATTTCAGTGAATTTTTAAAAATGCCTACTTCCACAAACTTGGAAATGAAAACCTGTCTTAAGTGATTATAATTTTTAACAATGTGGAGTCAGATGACAAAAGACTCACGGTCTATTTGTACAGGAGACTCAAATAACTTCAATATTATTAAGGTGATTTACCCAACCTAGAGTCAAATTCTGTTGTGAGAAATGGTATCAAAAATGACTGTAAGTAGAGGTTTAACAGAGAAGGAAACCTGGATACTAGAACACTTAGTAACTCAGTAATATGCCTTTAAAAGAACGAAAACTAACTGAAAGTATTTATACCCTTCCTCAAAAGGATGTTTAAGTACATGTTATCATTTCCAAAAATCATGAAAATCTACAGCGCATATATGAGGCCCAAATTACATGATTTTATATCACAGAAAACTACCTTTCATTACAGGCAAATAAAAGTCAGTATCAGATTTAATGAGTCACCTTTGTTTCTTCCAGAGATTTTCCTAAATCTTCTGCACCAAAGGAAGGCTGCAAAATGGGAACCTGCTCTGTTGTTTCTTTTATCCATGACTTCAGTGATTTCACAAGGACTTGGAAAGCTTCCAGTTGTTCTTGACAAGAAGTTGCAGCTTCTTTTCTAGTTAAAAAAAATCATACCAAAATATAAGCCACAAAAGAAGTTCCAAAGGATGAATTACTAATCAATAATTGTTTTTTATTTGTTTTTGTTTTTGTTTTTGTTTTTTTGAGACAGGGTCTCACTTTGTAGTTCAGGCTGCCCTTGAACTCACGGTGATCTTCCTGCCTAAGCCTCTTGAATGCTAGGATTACAGGTATGTGCCACCATGCCTGGCTTAATCAATAATTTTTATTCCCATATTGGGCTTAATATTGAAAAGCACCCTCCATGCAAAGTATCACCCTTTGATACAGGAGGAAAGTTTTTATAAGTGGCAAGTGAAATGAGCTAAATAAGTATTCCTCAAAGTAAAGACAATAGTCAAAAACTCTGTAACCCATATGTAATAGCACTTTCAAATGCTACATAAATTCTAAGACTACATAGTTTTAACATTACTTAGATTCAGTGAGCTTTGTTCTCTCCATGTTATATGATATTCAAGGCCAGCATGCAAAGAAGCAGTTACAAATCTCCCACAAAAGGAACACATAGTGCCACCTAGTGTTTTCTGCCCTGCCCTACAGTCATGTTGGATGGGTTAAACAGTGCTTCAGGGAGCTAAATCAGAGTTCTAGTGGGAGCCTCACTCGTGGACTCAGGAAGCTTCACAGTGAATTATGTGGATCCCTCTGTGTGCTCAGCACCATGAAAGAGCATACAAGCCCAGAACATGCACTGTGGGAACAGCTCCATGTGGCATGTGAATGACACACACACGCATAACCTGCGTGCACACCCCCCCCCCCAAGTGTATGGCCCTTTGGCAGACAAAAGTGCACTGGAGCTAAATGATTTACTAATGAGTTCATGGTTTTAAAGTTGGACCCACTTGAAAGAATACATAACCTAAAGATTACCAGAAAACCAAGAACATTTCTTCAGTGAAGTGTGAATTAAGTATCGTATGACATGATAAAAACATAGCTGTATGAGCAGTATAAATAACATCTAAAAGTTCTAGAGAATTCCAAATAAATTAGGTAGCTGAAAAGGAAACTGCTCTTTTCTATCTTTTAGGGGTTCTTCCATAGGAGCTTTAGCAAAACCAGTTATGTATGCTAAACCGATCCAAGATCAGAGATGCAAAAAGCTCAGTTACAAGGCTTATCCCTGTGCAGCTTGTTAGTTCAAGTCAGGTTCATTCTTTTGTTTTTTCATGGTCTTGTGGTTCATCTAATCTTTAAAAAGTAAACTGCTAAACAAAAAAAGGCTATTAAGAAATGGCCATAATGAAATTATGCATAGCTTCTGAAATGGTCCAGAAAGCAAAGAACCGTGCACTGTCTTTCAAGGTTATTTTTCATCTTTGCAAATAAAAACGTGATATTTGCCGAAGGTTTCAGAACCTACAGTGAGTTCAAACTGTTTTCAGTGATACACTATCACCTCCATTTTTCTTGCGTAATGTTTTCCACTTTTATGGAAAAACACTGAGTTTTCCTCCTTAATGTTTTTGCAAATAACGTACTTAATGTTTATAGAAAAAATTATCAAAATATGAAAACACTAAAGTAACCCAATATTTATTCTCAGGTTTCCAAATTTTCTTCAGTTATCAATATAAGTAAATACAAATCATTCATCTAATTAGTATCAAGAGGAATAAAATGCAGTTTTTAAAGTGGTGCTTACTTTTCTTTGATGGTATCCTCCATTTCTTTGAATTTCTTAGACAAATTATTTGTTTTTTCAAAAACCAGAGCTTTATCACCTGGTAAGCCTTGGCTGGATATCTCCATCAAGAGATTATGTAAAGCTTCAAGATCTTTCTTGTGTTCTAAGAATTCAGAAGTTGATTCCTACAAAGCATTTAGATTTAGTAAGTATAAATGCTGCTATATTGTCTAAGGACCCATAGGTATGTATGGGACTAGAATGGCTCTGTTGAGAACTTCACAGAGGAATGTCATGCTATAGTTAACACGAGATATAATAAACATGCAGATAGGTTATCTGAAAAAGAACACAGTTAATTTTATTTTATTTTAAAATACACTCTGTATTTTGACTCTCGGTGGGTTCTGGCATATAAGATAGTGTTTATAACATCTATGATAACTAGTATTTATTTCTATTCAATAGGCAAAGGTAAAGGAGAAGGGTCTGAGATTTCCAAAGGAGGAAAACATCCATCTTTATTAATCTATAAGCAATCAAAATGACAACTGCTAATATAATTCTGCCAGTCAATGTATGAGTTTGTCTTAATTATTGATTAATTAAGCTCAGCTTCAGAAGTACTAAGAAGACTTGCCTGCATATACTGAGACAATTCAGTGACATCTTTTCCTGGCACATCTACCTCAGTAAGAGCCTGAGTTTTTGTTTCTAAAAATGTCTGTAGCATTTCTGAGAGGCTTTCAAACATTTCTACTTTGGTTTTCAGCTCTTCCATTTTGGCAAGTTTTTCTTTGTGTTTCTGACTGGCTTCTGAAAACCGAACAGACAGGTCCTTCATTTTAGCCTGCAGTGAGGAAGCAGTGGATGGGTCTGTAGTTTCCATAAATTGCTTCACTTTTTCATTCATGGCATTTATACTGCTCTGACGACCTGCAACATCCTGTTCCAACATCTGAAATAAACCAAATATTGCATAAATTTTATAATGATATTTACAAATATTGGCAGTGTTTTAAAAACTATTATTCATAACAACGTAAGCTTGAAACACTTGTGATTAAAAAGGTTAACAGTTGGAATTGAAGGACAACTTTGATTTGTCTCTTGAGGAGTCCCATTCAAATCTCTTTGAGGGAGAGTGGAGAACAGCTAGCTAGTTGTGCAAAGAGGCAGGGGGCTGCTGCTACTCGGCAACCCTCAGATCTAATGGAGCCTGGGTATTAGGCATGGTCCTAATTTTTAGAAGGCAAAACAATAAGATTGATCTGACACATTTTATCAGATAAGCTTCCTGTGCAGCTGGCTACAGCATAATAAGATAAGACTTCATGTATGATAAGCTCTCCACAAGGAACGATACTCATGACAAGTAGACAAAGCCCTCCTAGGCTCCACCATGGAACAAATCATACACATTTATGTTTGTACTTTTCATACTGCTCTATTCAGTAAACAGCTTTTCCTTATAACCTTAAATTTATCCTAAATCTACCTATCCTTGGTGTTTACAAAACTTTTTTTAAAAAACTGTTAAATGGAAGTTTTTTTCTTTTTAAAGTATTACTTACAATATTTCTGCTGATGAGATCCTGAAGTGCAGCAGAGTTCAAAGGCACCTGATCCTGTTCCTTCACAGAACTCTCCACACTTCCCATCCAGTCCAGCATCTCATCCAGGCCATCCTGCACACTCAGGGAGCGGGTCAGGGTTATCTGGAGTTTTTCATTTCGCTCATTAACAGACTTGGACAGATCATCGTATCTCCCCACAATGTTATCTAGCCCAAACAGCAGGAAACGTTAACCACAAAGGGCTCTTTGCCCCATCCATTTTCTTAAAAATACACCAAGGTGAACTATAAAGCTTCCATATAAAATTAGAGAAGGAAAAAAAGTTTAAATGCTAAATTCATAATCAGATTACCATCTAAAACCCTAAGAAATAAAGAAACAAATCTAGTAGAAAATAAAAAATTGGAATTTTAGAAAACAAATATATCAATGGCATTTAGAAAGAAATTTTTGGATGTATAAATATTTGAACTGTCCCAGAGAAATGAGAGAGTACTCCAAATATCAAACTTCTGGAATAAATACTGGGTTTCATTCTGACATTTAAAATTAGCAATACTTACTGATAACTATTTAGGGGGAAAGTGACATTCATACAAATATATTCTCAAGAGACTACACAGTGATAAAAACTTATCAAGAATTAATTTTTAAATATAAAAATTATTACTCCCTTTGTTGTACACAGAATGCTAAGCTTTTGTTATCCTCCCTAACCTCGGAAGGTACTAAAATGCACAAAAACTGGCAGATGAAAATCAAGTAAGAAAACAGAACAATGAAAATCTACTTAAAACTAAGATTATGCTTTTAAAATATACTCAAAATTTACTTAAAAGGGAAAATAAACACACTAACTTATTTCATATGAGATCAACTTTACTTTCAATTCTAATTATTAAGATGATAAAAAATCCTTTCAAGAAGTTCAAAGGACAATGCTTTCAATGTACTCCCTTCCAGCAGCCTCTGGAAAACAATCTTTTTAACTGCGATTTTATTTATCACTTATTGTCCAAGAACCTGAAGAGTATTTTCAATTATTTCTGAATACTTTAGCCTGAGAAATAGTTTTGATCCAAAACAATTTTATAGATGAAATACCTTACATACTTGTGTTTGGTCATGGAATATAATCCAAACAACAAAACAGTATCCTTTACTGTCCTAACACTACATCATGAGAAAATAGCTTGATGAATTTTCACTGAATTTGGAGAATAAGTTAACATGATTGATAGGAATCATCATGGGCCCGACTAAAACACAATTTGGGACCCAATGCTCTCTCCAGGTAAATACCTGAATGCCGAATGCCGAGTGGGAGAAGGCCTTCAATATGCCTCAAGGTGCTACAAGTAGAGGTTCAAGTCCTAACTGAAAGTCTCAAGAGCTCTAACTTGCAGCTTGAGACTGTCAGGTGAGTTGCTCCTAACTGAGCCATGCCTGTGCAGTGGCATCAGTGATATGTTTAGCTATGACACCTGATTTCCCAAGCAAAGTCAGCTATACTCATGCAATTGGCACATTTGGAGTGTTCCTGTTTGCTATGGACTGAAGGCACATGTGGACACCTACCCCCTAAAGTGATATCTGGCCTTTGGAAGATGGATATTGTTATATGGTGATATAATAAGAAATAGGTATATATGCAGTCTCTGGCCATGGTTCCCAAAGTAGAGTTTTAAAATCTCTTGTAATTTCCTGAGCAATAAAAAGCACCAGAAGAATCTTTTCTTCTGATGTTGGGTCTTTGACCCCAGTTCCTGATCCAGAGCTTTTAAGAGCTTTGTAATTTCTCGAGTGACAGGAGTCTCTGACACAGCTCTTGAGTCTCTTGGAATTTCCTGGATGACAGGAGTAACTGTCTACCTAACAGGTGACTTTTGGCAGGTTTCTGGGTGGCCTCAGTATGGTGGGTAGTTGTGAGGGCAACTGATGATGTAATTAGAAGACTGGAACTTCCAGTCCCACTCACTGACCTCAATACAAGGAGGCAGAGGGCATGAAGATTTAGTTGATACCAACAGCCAAGGATGTAATCAATCATGCCCATGGGGTGAAACTGCAATAAAACACTGGAAGGATGGGTTCCAGGAGGGCCCTGATAGTTGAACCATGGAGGCTCCTGGAGAGTGGCACACCCAGAGAAGACAAGGATGCTGTGGTCCCTTCTCCCTTATCTCACCCTACGCTTCTCTCCTGCTTGGCTGTTCATCTGTATTCTCTGAAACATCCTCGTACTAAAGAGCTGAGTATAAGTACATTGCTCTGAGTTCTGTAAGCTGCTCTAGAAAATCAACTGAATCCACAGAGCAGGTCAGGGGAATCTCAATTTACAGCTGGTTAGGCCTAAGCTCAGGTCTCCAACTGTGACTTGTAAGTTGCATCTGAAGTGGGGAACTGTTGGGGCACTGTGGGATCTGAAGCCATCTCTGTGTAGACAGCTTCAGAAATGAACTGAATTAGGATATCCAGCTGGTGTCAGCTGGAGAGTTGCTTTGTGTGTGGGGTAAACCCCTACATACATGGTCACAGAAGTGTTCCGTGTGGTGTTAAGTGGTACATGAGAGTAGGTAAAGCATTTAGTCTTTTCCTTCTCTCCCAGGAGGTGATCAGGTCATGAGGGTGGACCAGTCATGAATGAGATTAGTGGCCTTTATACATGAGGGAGAGGGTGTCTCTCCACTGTTTTCTACCATGTGACAGTACAGCATGGAAGTGGTCATCTATAAGCCAGGAACAAGGCCCTGGCCGGAAAGCTAACTGTACCAATGCCCTGACAATGAATTTCCAGCTTCTGGAAGTCTGAGAAATAAATATCTACTGTTTTGTCTGTCCAATCCATGGTATTTTCATTATAGCAGCTTGAACTAAGTGTATTCTGTACTTGTTGGTGAAAAATACTGTCACTGAAGTAAATTCTTGACTTTACCGACTAAAATTATTTTAGATAAAGTACAAAACAAAATCCAATGTAAGAAAGTTATTTTTTAAAGTTGTTGGTTTCCTTATAAATCAGAAAGATTCTAAAGTCTTCTTTATCATACAGTTTCACACATAATCCTAGAAAATGATGCCAGAAAGCAGCTTTCCAGTCTTAATGTAACGTATGAAATTTAAACAACTCAAAATGAAACTATGTACAATTAACAATAGAGACAATGTCAAAATGTCTCCTCAACACAAATATAATTAAGATACTGTTTCTTTCTCCTTCAAATCCACCTCCCTAGAGCTGTAGTCTCCAATGTGGATTACAAGACGATGCACTGAGGTAGAGGAATACAATGTTACAATTTCCATCCATACTTTCATATACCTTATAATTCCTTTTTTATAATTATAAAATGCTTTTGCATTTTATAATTATAATGCACATGATATGATAATATGGTAACATGTGCATATAATTCGTAAGTACATGTGCATGTATGGGGGCAAGTTGAAGTTACTGATAGGGGCACATGATCAAAAAAGTCTGGAAGACTGTAAGAATGAAAAAAAGAGGGCTGGGGATTTAGCTCAGTGGTGCTGCCTCCTGCCTCGCAAACCCAAGGTCCTGAGCTCGATCTCTGGTACCAAAAGGAAAAAAAAAAAAAAAGAATAATGAAAATAGGATTTCCCTCCTAGAGAATGACTTTAGATCAATGAACAGAAGTTTTCATCTTTCTGTTCATAAAAAATTTCTACTTAGATTTTAATTCACTATCTATTTGGGGTGAAATAGTAGTCATCTGCTATAGAAATTATAATTTCCCACAGGCACGCATACCAATATACAATGACTTCAACATTCAGCATCACCATTTCACAGAGAAAGATCACAAATAATATAACATCTAACTGTGATTTTCTATACAACTATTAGAATATTTAGAATTTACCTGTCAGGCAGGAAACAAAAACACTAAATATCTTACCCAGTGTTTTCTGGATGTCATTCTTGGCTGGAAGTAAGGACCCTCTGGCATCTAAAAGCACTTCCACTGCTTTTTTCAGTTTCTCTACAGCAACCTGCTGACTTGATATCTGTCCTTGTAGAGCCTATGGGATTAAATGTTTTTCAATTATATGTGAGAGGACTAAATAGATTTCAATATGGAAAAAAATGATCTACAATAAAATAAACTAGCCAGAGTCAATTTTCCATTATAAAAACTTTCATCATATGAACTTTCTCTGTAGTTCTCAGAATGAGATCATTATAATGCAGCATTAGCCAGAGAAGCATCAACCAGTCTGGATAATACAAATTCAGTCTTGAAATAAACTGCTGAGTGTAGGTTCAGAATAATTTTCCTGGTCCTTGACCTTACAGCCCCCCTCATTTAGCCTAAGTTCCCTACTTATGCACCCTCACTACCACCAAAGCCAAATCAAACACAGAAAACCTCGGAGACCATTTCTGACTCCAGGTAAAGAGATAATTAAGGATTTCTTCCATCAGTAGGTCCTGACTTCATACTGAGTCATATTTACTTCTGTGAATTCAATAAAAGCTACTAGATATCTTACAAATCTCCAAAAGCTTTGCTACATTCAGTGAAAATACAAAAATTAAACAGACAGGAATCTTATGCCCTCTGGCAGAAAGTGTTAAGCATCAAAGGTGAGTAAGTAAACCCATTACTGGATGTTGAGAGGAAGGGCAATCAGAGAGAAACGAAGGCCACCACCATAGTGGTGCCACAGTGAGGTCCTGAAGAAAGTGTGGATCTGGGCCTGTAGAGTGGGAGAGGGAGAACAAAGGCACAAATATGAGGACAGAAATATCTCAGGAGAAGAGCCTTATTCATCTTAAGGATATATATGGTGAATAAATGGAAACAGGTGGAAAGGCCTTAAATGTCAGGCTAAGCAGTTTACATTTTATCTGGTAGCAGTGGAAAACTATTCAAGGCTTTGAATAAGGAGTGAGTATGTGTTAGGGACCGATCTACAGGAAGGCCAAATTTGTAGCAATGCATGGGAAAAATTCGGGGGAAAGGAATGAGGAAGAGAATCCAGCTAGGAGGAACCTTAGCAGTAACGACCAAGGAGGGCTCCTGAGGACTGAGAACAGTTCCCCTCTCCAGGCTGCTTGGCAGAGAAAGTGGAGTTAGGTACAGAGCTAGGAAGTCCCATGGACTCGGTCATGTTACCTAAAGCTGTGCTGCCCATCACAGTAGCCACAAAATAAATACATATGACTTTTAAATTGAAATTAAATTACATAAAAAGGGCCAGGGATTTAGCTCAGTGGCACCGCACCTGGCTTGCAAGTGAAAGGTCTTGACTTTGATTCCCAGTACCACAAAAAAAAAAAAAAAAAATTGCAGAAAAAATTTCTCAGTTGCATCAGCCACACTTCAAGTGCTAAGTAGCTTCCAGTGATGAATGGCCACCAAACCAGAGAGAACAAACAGGACATTTCCAAATGCTCTGCTGGTCAGCATTGCTCCACATGGCGGGAATCAGGGCCAGAGGAGAAAAGGAGAGGAGCCTTAAGTTTTCCATCCAGCCCACATGATCAGCAGAATTTGTACACACAAGTGAGAGCACGTTTAGGGGTAAAGGAGAACTTACTATGGAATTCATGATTTCAAAGTGCTCTTGAGATTTTATACAGAAAAACTGGCAGTGGAGGAAAACTCTGAACACAAGAGGAACTGGACATAAAGAAGTGGAAGTCAGAGAAAGCCCAGCAACATCAGAGGAGATGATGAAGAATCCGGAGAACCCTTGTGTTTATGTGATGAGGAGAGGGAGGCACAACACATGCCATCAAGGAAGTCAAAATGGGCCCAGAATCATGCTGACCCCTAGCTAATTACCCATGTACCCAGCATGAGACACTCCCAGACTCTATCTTCTCTTAAACCATCTTTCCCACATGTAAACCCAACCATCCAGTCCTGAAAAATTTTACCTGCGAGATATAAACAGACTGCTCTGTAACCTCTTACGGGGATTACTGAAAGTAAAAAAAGGACTCTTAAATATGTTCCTGCCTCCAGTGGTTTCCCTAGAAGAGCCCCTAATATATTAAATACATCTCTGACCATATATCACTCCCCTGTTTAAAATTGTTCAGTAGCTTCCCTTCATAATAAAGGCTAAGATTTGAGAACATTATAATGAAAATGAAACCTATCCCTTCACTTTGAATCAACTTCCTGATCCAGAAATGCCCAACAGCTGTCTCAGCTGTTTCTGAGACCAGATGCCTTCACATCTCCACATACCAACATTTTCATGCAACTTACCTCACCCCCATCATCAGCCTTGCTCCTAGTCACCCTTTAATACTCAGCTAGGAAGTCTTTCCTAGTTCTCGCCTCACCTAATTGAGTTAAGCACTTCTCCTGGAAGGTCCCATAAGTACCCTGTGAATACCACTGCATTTATCTGTCTCCTCTATCAAACTACAGCCTTCTTGAGAACTGGGAATTTATCTCATTCAGCTTTCAATAGCCATGCCTAGGCCTGAGCTTGCCTTGTATCAGGCCTTGATAAAAGTTTCTGGAATAAATGAGTAAATTGATAACAAATGCAGATATCAAGCATAAAACCTATAAAGGTCATCTTCTACTTCAGCATTATTTATTATTTCTTAAAATAAATGCCTCTAGTTAATGGCAAATTTTTCCTTAACTAATTTTTACAATATAAAAACTATGTTACACAGGCAGCCCTTGTATACACAGGTTGAAAGACTCACCAAAGCATGTCCAACATGGAATCTGAGATCTGAATACCAGATCCTACACCTGTACCCAGAGGTCAAAAAAGCAACATCAGAGTGCATCTATTTGGGGAATTCTCCCAGAAGTTTAGTTAAAGTAGAAGAAATCCCACACACATGAACTTTACCAATAACCAAACTGAAGTCCAAGCCACACTGCACACTGCATATTTATTTAGGAGAGGAAATAAAGTTAAGGGTACCCATACATGCTGTTTTGTAAATGTGAGTTCTCTAAGGACAACGACAAGGTTTTAAAATCTGTATCTCTTCACAAAACTTAAAAATGGGCCCAGAACACTGATGTTTCCTGAATGATTAAACAGATATAAAGTTATCATGGCTCTATAAAAATATCCACTACCAAACGGCCCTGCCTATTATCTTAACACTCAGCAATGAATTACAAAAGAAGTATTTCTTTTTTTGCTTCTTTTCCTCAAAATATCTTATGCCTTTGCTTTCTGTAATTATAGACAAGAGTTAACAGTTTTTATTCCTAACATGTGTCAGGTTATAATTTAATGGAAGTGGTGTATATAGTACTATTTTGGAACAAAACTACAAGTTAAATCATTCAAATACATGCCTACAACATTCTGAGATTTCAGTTAAATTAAAACACTGAAGAAGCATCCCTGACAGGGAACACTACAAGATGATGACTCTGGTCTCCTCCCTGCTATGAGTACTTGTCCTGCTCATGGAACTTTTCCACCTTAACATCATCCCAGAGATCAGGGCAGCCTCAGGTTGACACAGCCAGTCAACATGATCTGGAACCCAGCTGGTTCCAAAACAAGGCCTCATGGGGGTCTCTGACGTCTAAATCTTGTCTTCTGAGCCTCTTTTAAAAGAGGCTGAAATCTTGTTTTATCAGTTATTTCTCTGGAAGAGGATTTTGAGTGTCATCCTAGCCTAGTGGTATCAAACTGTTGATAATGCAGCTAACAGCTTTGTTTTTAAAAATAATAATGCTAGTGGGCCGGGGATTTAGCTCAGGGGTTCCGCCTGCCCCGCAAGCACAAGGACCCAAGTTCAATCCCTGGTGCCAGAAAAAAATAAAATAAAATAATGCTAGTAACAACATGCTAGTGGGCAGAAATGTTTCAAGTAATTGAGTGCCTTAAAATTACATTGATTATCCCCAGAATATAAGTAGAACTTAGTATGTTAAATACAGAAAGACTTGTTTTACTGTAATAGTCATGTGTTTATATTACTAAAAGAAAAATAATTTTAAATGTTAGTAAAAAAAATGGAGACTACCTGATACCTATAAAAATTTATCCTCACGACACAGAGAACATCTGTGAGAAAAAAATAAATACATATGCCAGAAATAACTTTAATTACACATTTAATTTTTAAAATTAGTCTGTTGCTTAATTAGAATTCATTCTCATTTGAGATCTGTCCTTTTCGTATTTCTCTAAGGACTAGAGGAGCTTTCTTCAGCACTGAATAAATAAGGTTTCTGTTCTAAAATTAATCCTTATATCAATTTAATTAAAGATCTTAGTGGTCTTTTGTGGTTTTTACTTTTTTATGCTTTTGCTCTGATTAGATTACTTTTATCCAGGATACAATCTGTTCCCCAACACCAATCTAACCTAAAAACTATTATTTCTATTATTTAGACTTTTTTATATAAAAACTATTAACTGCTTAGTTAAATGTAAAATAATCAATCTTAACAATTATGTTAAACCCTTACCAAAAACTTGGCCTTCAATATCACAGTATCTCCTCTGCCTTCACCATACATACATAAATACATACACATAATAAAGTAAAAAGTGAAAACTTAACACATATCTGTTCTTGTGGAAAAGAGGATGAAAATAAAAACAAACAGGAAGCAGGCCAGAAAATGCACACTGAAAAGAAAGAGCCCCAGGGACACCACATCAGCTGAGGGATACTGACCTGGGCTAGGATACCTCCCTGGTGCCCACTGTAGGGTGGGGTGAACTCTCCAGCTTAGGAAGGTGCAGTACCCTCCTCCCTTTGCATCCCCACTCCACTTCCCTCCTCTCCTCTTTTGCTTCTGTAATGGCTAGTGTCTAGATTTCCTCTAGAGCCCCATACAGTCACAGTGAGGCTTTTCAGAAGTGGCTGGATGTAATGTGTGATGCTGGGATTAAGAGTGTGTGATTACTAAATTAGTCCACTGATTGATTTGGCGAAGTTCTGGGTTCGGATAATAGGAAGACCCACCCCAGGTGTGAGTGCTATCTGCCCTAAGGGTGTATAGTCTGGATAGAATATAATGGATAGAAAAAGGGGTGCTGTGGTCGATTGCTGTTCTTCACTATTTTGTTTCTTTGCTGTCTTCTACCTGCCATGAACTGTTTCTCCTCTGCCATGCCCCTCTGCCATGCCACCCTGCCTTGGAGTCAGCCAACTGTGGACTGAAAGCTCTAAAAACTGTGAGCCAAAATAAACCTACCTTTTTTACATTTAGGTGTTGAGTATTTTGTCTCAGCAATGAGAAAGTAAGGAAGGCAGCTTCCATCCCCTTCACCGGCCTTCCCTCTGCTTCGCCCTCACCTGCCACATTTACTTTGCTTTAGACTTAGCTTCAGTTATGCTTTCCATCTATATGCCCACCCCACCCCCCAAAGCCACAGGTGCTTAAAGGCTGGCTTTTGGAAGGTGACTGGATTATGGGGCAGTATAACTGACTTGCTGTTAGGAGGTGGGATCTGGCCTGATGAGGTGGATCATTGTGAGCATAACCTAGAAGGCTGTCTCTCTCCCCTGACTAAGCTTCTTGTCCACTGCAGCTCTCTTCCACCACACCCCTCTGCCATGCCATCCAACTATGGACTGAAACACGAGCCAAAATAAACCTCTCTTTCCTTAAGTTGTGGTGTCAGGTGTCAGGTACTTTGTCCTAACAACATGGAGAGTGACTAAAACAGCCTTCTTCCAGACAGATAGCACTGGACTTGCACAACACCTAACTTTAAACTCAACCAGTAAGGTACTTGTTTTCCTTGTTGATAGCACAATGATGATTTTTTTTTACTCTATAACTATCAGGCAACTAAATTCTAAAAGGCAGTTTTTAAAATGGCAATATTCCATTTACTTTCTATTCACGGTGACAATAAGCTAAAAGAAAACAGGGTGGCGGGAGGGGAAGGGGAAAGGGAAGAAAGGAAAGGAAAAATTATGAGAAAGAAAAAAAAAGGAAACAAAGTCTATGTAAATAGGGGAGGGTGGTGAGGGTGAAGGGTGCACAGGTAATGGGGAAAAAAATAAGAACTAAGATACATCATGTTCAGGTTCAAACACCCAATGATAAATGTAAATGTACTGTATACCTAAAATGTACCAATTAATATATAAATTTTTTTAAAAAATCTAAAAGAAAACGTAACAGAAATAGAAATGAAACTTTCAAAATCAAAATTATGCTCATATTGATCTGCCATCGTGTAAGAATTTTAAAATATATTTAAAAAAATAAGAGACTTTCTCCACCACTATGAGTATAACTCAGACTCTCTTAATCATGCAGTTATGATATCAAGCATTTCTGAAAAGGTGAGTGCTGGAGACTGGATTCGGAGTCTAACATGGTAGGCAAACAGTCTACCACTGTAGCTATACTTTCAGTACACAGGCAGACTTGAGAACTATGCCAGGTAATAATCAAAGTACTTTGTAATCTTTGTACTTCTATGAATCATAAGGACACTCAATAGGCACCCCAATCTTGGCCTGTAGAAATTCTGAATATTACAGAGACATCTTGTCTTCCCTACCACTTGTCAATTCTTGAACAAATATTTAATGAGTAACCTCTTTGGGCCATGTAAAAGTGTAAGTGCTAGGAATGTAGCAATGAATAAAACAGACAAAACTATCTGCTCTCACGGAGCATAATTATAATGAAGAGGAAAAACTGAGTAAGATTAAATGCAAGGAGAGGAGTAGTGAAATGTAGGTAGTAAGGTGTAACAGTAATGTCAAATCAGCTAAACAGCAGGAAAAACTGGTGAAGCAAAGTCACAACTCCCTGTGCAGGGAGAAGGATGCTCTTTCCACCCTTTGTTCTTTAGGTAAAACTGTCACAAAGTATGGGAAACCAAAGTCTTTCAATATTCATGAAGGACTAAATCTCTCTTTCTCTCTCTCTCTTTTTTTTTCTTTTTACCTTAGTCTCTTCTAACTGCCTCTGCAGATTTTGGGGGTCCACAGCAATAGGTTCAAATAAGTGTTTGTTGGCCAGGGCCTCCGAAACCTGAAGCGCAGATAGAAGTCCACAGGAAGCATCCTCGTAGTGTTGATATTTATCCACCAAGTCTTTAAGATTATTTCCAAGAATATTACACTAAAAAACAAAAGAAAGGAGGCAACGTAGATTAAATCCCTGCTTTGTTGTGTGTAAAATTACCCTAAGATCTGTGAATTATGGAACTTGGAAAAAAAGAGACTTCAACCAAAGTTGTAGGGCTCAGATTTTTACCTTATATGAGAAAGTAAAAAAGTAACCACAAAAATGAGGATATAGTTCTAGATTTACATCAACTCAAAAGAGTATTTATAAGGACTGAGCCTTAACCAAGAATGGAAGAGGTGGGCGTGGTGGCGCATGCCTGTAATCCCAGCACTTGGGGGGTTGAGGCAGGAGGATTGCCTGAGTTTGAGGCCAGCCTGAACTACACAGTGAGACCCTGTCTCAAAAAAAAAAAAAAAAAAAAAGAAAAGAAAAGAAAGAATGAAAGATAAAGATATCTCACATCAGATTCCCTGGGTTTTATTCCCTGGGTGCAGAGATCTATAAGGTGTTTAATAAATCATTTTCATGTGTTGCACAAGATTGATTAATACAGAAGACAAACAGTTTGCATTAAAATTAAGCAAAGTCAGAGTCAATGATGCTCTTTAAATAATTTATGCAGCTTGGTAAGTCTATGCAGCTTGGGTTCTTAAGTATTTTTTCTAATTTTTTTTTACTTGTTTAGAGATTTAAAAGAACCAAAAAGTCTGTTTAGAGATTTAAAAGAACCAAAAAGTCTGTTAGTCACTAAGTATGAAAGTAATACACTGATGATGAAGTAGACCTGTAGGACAGTCTTATATGTTTATGTGAAGAGAATTATCTGAGATGAAACTTCAGGTCCCAACATAGGCAGGCTGTTCCAGCACTGGTCAAGACATAATTGCCATCTGGTGGTCAAATGGATATTGGAGTTGTGCTAGGGCTTCCTGGAATCAATCTCAAAGGAAATACTTTTAAGCTCCTAATCTTTAAATACATTTTTCAAAAGTAAAGTAGATGTAAAGGTTTTTAGGTTTCCTGCTTCTAAGTCAAAAACAGAAGTTCAGAGAACAGAGTGCAAACTATAATCACATATTGACTTTCCTCTTGAAAGAATATAATAAATTTACCTTGGAGTAGAGAGACCTAAAGCAATCCGTAGCATGATCTAGCTTGCTCTGGACTTCTCTGTGAGTTGCAGAAGTGTCAACATTATCCTTGTCAACCTTGTTGCCATCTCTCTTACTGCAAGATTTGGCAGCTTCTAACACCCTGTTTCCAGAAATGGTGATGAACCTCAAGTCGCCTTTGTGAGAAATAACATCTTCTGAGAAGCTCTTCTGTCTGTTCAGCTTGGTCAGTAAGCCACTGAAATCATCCACACCTGCCTCCAAATTTTCAAGTTCTTGTTCTGACTGCTGGAGCCAGTGCTCAAACTCGCCATAATCAGCATCAAACTTTTCTAATTCTTCCTGCAGGGAGTGTGTTAACTTCATTTTCTTCTCTGACTCGGCCAGTGTGGTTTCATAATGTGCTTTCAGCTCCTTCATGTTCTTCTGCAGTTTATCTTTCTCCTCAGGAGCGAGATAATGGCCCTGATTCTCAAGCAACGCTTGTGCAGACTGTGTGGCTATGATAACTGCCTGGTGCCGGGAGATGATCTGCTCATGTTGGGCCTGAGTGAGAACAAAGTGACCACAGCTTTAATGCTGCCAGGAGGGTCCCACAGTCTCAGGGCCTCAGGACTGCCAGGCATGAGTGACCTACAGGGCTCCAACTTGCCTCTCCACCCACTTCTAACACAACATGCAACTTAGCTTTTGTCTATGTCATCCTCAACCCCCGGCCCCCGTACAGAAGCACTGGGATGGGGAATTAATCTTGCTCACTGGGAAATGGCAAGTGCCTAGAATTGTGCTATCCCAAAGAGCAGAGCTAAAACAACCTGTCTGCTTCGAAGGTCAAGGGACTCAGAGGCACTGCTATAAGATGGCCTTACTTCTAATTAGTCCCCAATTAGTCCACTGAGAGCAGACTCCTAAAATTTGTATCCTCACTCTCTGCAACAATGCCAACCATATGATAAATAACTCTTACCCCACAGACTACATCTTTGGTATCTGAATTATATTCATATGCTACTCTCCAGAAGGGCTTTGCACATAACTAGATCTAGAATATCTAATAAACTATCTAACCAGTCCTTCAATAGCTGGAGAAGGGCTGGCCTGGGCCATGTCACAACTGCAGAAGGCTGGAGATCCTGGTGCAGGCCATTGGCCACTGCTCTACTCAACCAGCAGGTGAGGACTCCTCCATACTGCCAGATTCTTATATTCTTTGAGGTCCAAAGATCAGAGGGAAATGTCATATTGTAGACTGAAATAAGAGCTGTTCTATGTGACATCTTTATGTTTGGTTCACTTACTGATACTTTTGTCAGATTACTAACTTTTCTTAATGTTTCTGTAACTGACTCATAAACTGCCTTTAGGAATTCATCAAATCTTCCATTTAAGAGACAATTCTAATAAGGTCCTATATCAGTTTCTTGAAACCATGACACTCCTGCTCTTCTCCTGGCTTAATTTATATTTTCTATACAAACCTCACAGAGTGCACCCTATCCCAAAGATTGAAAAAGGAAGAGCTGGAGGAAAATAGAACTGCAAAAGTTCCTAGAGTTCAGTCACCCAAAGGGAAACACTGAGGTAAAATGATTAATTGTATGACACTTTAAAAATGTTTCTTCAAAACCTGCCTTTGCTACTATAGGAGCATTAATAATAGTTTTAATTTCCACCATGCAGGGAGTTTTTTGAAGGGCTTTTATGTCTCTTCTCACCAAGAGACTGCACTGTCTAGAGGAACTGAGCTCAGAAAGGGTTTGAGCCTAGTGCAGTGTAGCAAGGCACTTGGTAAACAAGAATGAGATGCAGCAGAGCAACCATGCATATGGCCAAGTTCAAATCCAAACTGATATCCCCAGGTATAACTAGGGCAAGCTATTTTAGTTCTGTAAGTTATAGTTTTCCTGTAAAATGAAAATAAAAACCTCAAGGTATAACTAGCAGAGCTAAATGAGAATAGACAGAAAGATCTAAGAGTCCCTGGCCCACTGTCACTGCTGTATAAATGTTAACTATGACTATGACTTTTTATTCATTTCTTATAATATGGTTTCAGTTACACAGACAATGCCATAGCCAGTATTTTATTTCTCTTTTTTTTTTTTACTTGCTTGGAAATCCTGTAATACGTTATATTTGACATAATGACAACCTAGGACAAAAAGGACTTTATTCTCTGTGGTCACTGTGACTTGGTATGAGCTAAGTCGTTTCTATCTTTTGCTGACCTGGAAATAGAATTTGACCGTATCACCATGTTGAAACAACATACCTTAATCTTCTGGTATTGCTGGTTCAAATTCTCCTCAGTGACCCCAAGGTGCACATCAACATCAGCAGCCAACAGGTTACCGTTAACTTCGTCTTCTTCTCCAATCACTGACTTGCCATCGCCTTCATCAAAATGGGTCCCATTCTGTTCAATGACCTGTTTGTGTTTTATCCCTGAGTTTTTGTCAACGTTTGACAACCAGTCCAAAAGGTTTTCTATTTTGGTTTTGCTCTCTTCCAGCTGCTTCACAGCTGCAACCTAGACAGGAATATTTACATCAGGTTTTAAGAATGAAGGCTGAGGTATAAAGACACTCCAAAAGTAAAATCTGAGTAACTTTCAACTGTGAAAACTGACATGCACTGAAACTGTAACACAGTAAAATTAAACCTTGAAGCAACAGTTACTCTGATATATTCACTGCTCTTAAAAATCGTGTACATTCCAAAGTTTTAACTGTAACTGATGAGTTATCATATATTTCACAATCCTATCTCAATTTTAGGAAAAAGTTAAGAAAGACATTTCACCAAACCTTTCATAGTATTTGGTCAATTACACACCTAGAATCTAAGAATTCTAGTTTGGGGGCTAATTATCACTCATTACCACCTGATACACTTAAAAAAAACCAACCGGCTATTATATTAATCATTTCTGACAAAGCAGTAATGTACCACGCATTTGAATAAGGACCTTTTCCGTTTCTTCCTTGATTGCTGTCTTCACAACTTTATCCAGCTCCTTCTTTGACTGTTCGGCCTTCAAATTAAGCTGCTCATACTTTATCTTTGCTTCACTAAGTTTTTGTTCAATCAAAGCCTTATCTTCTTGTGATAGCTTTTCACCATTCTCTTTTAAGAAGTTTTCTGTATTTTTTACAATTTCTGCCAATGCTTGTGCACTTCCTTGCATATCTTTCTGTAATTCCTTAAGACACAAAAGAAAAAAAATACTGTTAAATTATTACCTATATAGCTCTCATAGTTGTAATTCTAAAAGAGGGAATAAGCAGAGTATAACCCATGTAGTTTGAAAAGCATATTAAATATGCTAATCTGAGTTGGTTTATTGAAGTTGTATTTAATATTATTTGAAGAAAAGGTTGAGATTTTCATGCTTAAGAAAAGAATACAGTTTTTAGAATGTAATTTGTGAAACATTGATAATACAGACATGTTTGGTACATATTATATGCAAATATAACAAGTACATTTATAAAAACTTGTAAATACACAGTATTATTTATTGTTTTTAAACATTTATTTTTAATATACATTTATTACTCAGGATAAAAAAAGTTCCCCCAGTGAATGAAGATACTTTCTTTTTCTAAACATCAGACTCAATAATAATATGTAATGTTTGCTTCTTTGCTTTGGCTATTAGGAAGCTCACCCTTCTCCACACATATACGTTTTCTGACTATCGATTGATGAAATTTTTATATATAATTTTCTCTATTCTTTCCCTTTTTTATTATGCATTTTCATTCTCTATATTATACTGTTTGAGTTTTAATATTTTTCTTCATATGTTAAGCGTTCTCAAACTTTTCTAAGAAGTACTTGAAACAGATTCTGTTTATTGAGCCATTACTGTGTGACACTGACTGTGCTAGTGACTGAATTCACAATATTTACTTAACTTTTACAATAATGTAGCAACGAAACCACAACAATGAGGAAACTGAGGCTCGGAAAGATTAAGTTATAAAGCTAACCATATATAAAGCCTGGAATTTGAACCAAAAACTATCTGGTTACAGTGAGAATGCTCTTTCTCTTGACATCAACATAAATATACCTTCATCTGTTGTTTTTGTTATGTTTTTCCATTTTCAAAGAAGATGAAAGGAATAAGACAAAGCTAACAAGAGAGAGAAAGAACCCAAAGCGACGGCTATTTGTCTTGATTTGCAAGTGAGTAGGTTGGCCTTAAATGGGTTCCAGTTTTAATTCATACAAATCTCCATTTTATCTCCTCCATTCAATAACTTATCCTAAGAAAAACAAGGAAATTACCCGGCCTGCTTCAAATTGGAAATCTAACTTTTAGTGTAAAGTTTACAGCTCAGGACTACTAGGTGTGTCTTGCTTCTAAAAAAATCTAGAATTACTGGTGTTATTCTGTAGTCCTAATGGCCCTCCAAACAGTAATCAAACCTAGTGGGAACACAGAGCTGCTGATACAAAGCCCAAGTTTACCTCTTGCTCAGACTTGTACTTCTTTAACTCCACTGTGCCATCTCCAATCACAAAGGCTTCCTGGTGACCGATGAGGCGGTTTTCAGTTTGAGTGAGAAGATCACATATCCCTTGGAGCTTCTCTTTGTACTCCTGTTGATGTTCTGCCGTGGTCTAAAGTGGAAAAAACCCAGACATCATCAATTGTGGTCATAAAATCACCCTCTGATAGCTCCACTTTATTAGCAAACACTTTTCCAAAGTTCCTCTACTAAGCTTTTATTAAGTATGCTGTAAACATAATAGCAGTGGGGGTACAAACTGAGCAAAGAGAGACAGAAAGTATGCGCATGTCCCAAATACAAGGAAAGAGATCCCTGGGATAAAGTCACTCAGTAGAATACTGGCCATGCATATGTATAAGAGATGGAACTTCTGACCAACAGGAAGAAACATCCCATTTTCTTAAGCTCTTGAAGCTTGCAACACACACAATTAATTCTGCAAAAGGACACCAAAAGAGAAGTTAGTCGTGATGTGTTTGTTAACGTAACTGATATGCATATATAGGTTATCATGCTAGAGACAATGCCTGGTGCTTCAAGAAACAATAAAAGAACATTGCATGCAATAATGTTTACCTAATCACTGTATCTAATTGTATTCCCATTTCTTTGCTCATTCTTGATTAGTTACAGTACTGTAATGCAATTCACTGTATCTTCTAAAAGACTGAGTTAAAACCAGTTTGCATGCATCTTTCATTTTCCTATTAATACATGTGCTCACTTCGGCAGCACATATACTAAAAATTTTCCTATTAATACATATATTGATCATTGATCTTATAGACATAGTAAACAGAGCTCATGTTTCCTAAAACCCTAGCACATACTAGCAAGATACTAAGTGTTTATAACTTCTTTATCAGTGCTCACAATACTACCAGGTAAATACTGCTATTATCTCCATTTTACCAGTGAGAAAAGGGAGGTTAAGTGCCTTGCCCCAGGTCTTACACACAGTGAGGAAGGCAGCGGTGACACAAACACAGGCAATGTGGTTCCAAAAGCCATGCTGAGTTGCTGTGCCAAACCATTTCCTCGAGGAAAAAGATACTACTCTTAACCTTCTTTAGCCATGTGCCCTCAATTTATTCCTGGAAATTTCTGAGTATATGCATCTTTCATATTTGTAGGGTAAAAAAATGAGTCCCATTTAAAATAAGTAGTGTTAGGGAGTCATGAAAATTAAAATCATCTGAACTACAGCATCATTATAAAAATGGCATTGTTATAGACTGCTGGAACACTCCTATAATCCACGAGCAGCTACATGAAGGCTTCATGCTGAAGAAGTAAAAACAAAGAATTCCCACTCCACAAAGAAAGGCAAACCTTCTGATCATCAAGATCTTGTTCTAGCTGTAACTGCATCTCTAAACGTTCCACCTGCATAGTTACTGATGCCTGCACATCAAGAAAACACTTCTGAGTTGCATTTAAGAGCCGCAGCAGTTGTCTGCTTTGGTTAGGAGACAGATCTTGTGCATATTCAGAAATGAAGAACTGCACATCAAAGGCAGTAGTCTCCAGCTGCATTTTGGTATGCCCAAGGTCTTTTAACACAGTCTGTGAACAAAGTGGTACAAGTTAGCAATGAGAGTAAGGCTACAGATAAGGGTTATATTAACAAGAATATTCATTTTAAAAAATGTGGTTTGGAAGTTTAAAGACTTCTATTCATTAGTCATCAAAAATCAATCATCTAGAAACAGGTAATTTTAAAATACAATGGTAGTTAATATTATAAATAAAAGGTAACTTCTCCAAGAATATTTTATCTTTGCCTGCTACATCATATTTAAAATGGAACTGAAAAAAGGCAAAGATTCAACATAGGTACATGTACCACACATTAAAATATTCCTCGCTATCACTTACAATATCCATTAAACTGAGGTAATAAATAACAAGGTCATGAGGAATTTGAAATGTGAATTAACTGGGCCAGGGTTTCAGTTTTATGACTCTGAGGCAAGGAGCCTAATAATGTTTGCCGAAAATGTGTTCAAATTAAGAGCTTGCAAAAATATCGTAACGAAACTATCAAACTACTTATACTGTCATGTATTTATGAAACTAATTGTATATGACTAATTTATAATTTATGTATTTTATGTGACTACCATATAAATTCATAAATCTAAATCTAAACAGTGGTTTTAAGAGTTCGATAAGACTTCTGGGATAGCTTCACATAAAGTTGTGATTACTTTATAGTTGTGTCAACTATGAACAAATATCAATTAAAGACAAAGGAAATAATTCTTTGTAGTCTTAGGAAAGTTATAGTTTTCCTAAACACTTAAATTAAACCCATAGGTTTTGTAATGTACGTTGCCATATTTACTTTGACACTTGCCTTAAGGAACTCCAAATTTTTCTTTACACGTTTAGTATCTTCAATGTTCACAGTCTCAATATATGTCACAGATCTGCTCTGCTCTGATATCCATTCTGAGAATGACTTAAGTTTATGCAGAAATTCTTCATAGGAAACTTCTAGTTTGGACTAGAAAATAAAATTGTGCATTCATTTCTTTGTGTCCCCCAAATTTCAAAGTCATACAAATAGTGATTCTGTGTCAAGAGCCTAACATTCTAAAAATAAATTATCTTATAACTAAATTTTCAAATAAAGTTTACTGAAACTTTGCCATTTCTATGCCTACCATTTCAGAGTCAATTGCAAGCATGATCTGTTTTATTCTTTCTGAAGACACGTTGCTCAGGGAAGAAAAGGCAGTCTGCAAACTCTGATGGCTTATACTCAATTCTTCAAGATATATTCTCGGAAAGTCACTGGGAAGAGACTTTGAGAATTCTTCTGCTGATTTCATACTCTTTCTTAAAATCACAGCAATTGGAGATAGTCTCAATTCAAATGTCTATAAGGAAGTATGTCCCAGATATAGTTACCACTTAAAGAAAAATATAAACATGAAACAGAAGTACTCCACCTTTTCAAACCTCACATTAACTGACAGCATCCATAAACAGGCAGCTACTACAGTTTAGAGTAGGAATATCCCCCAAGGGTCCATGATTGTGTCCCCAGCTTGGTGCCACAGGGAAGTAGTAGAAACTTTAAGAGCTAGGATCTTAGTGGGAGGTTCTGGGTCACTGGGAACATTGCTCAAAGTGGACATTGCTCAAAGTGCAAGCCCAGTCTCTCCTGTGATTCCCCACCATGAGGTAAGTGGTTTGGATCTGCCACACACTTGTCACTGTGATGTGCTGCCTCACCACATAAGGCACCAGGGCCAATCAATGGTCAGGAACTGAAACTTCTAAAACTGTGAGCTCCAGTAAGGCTTTGATTTTCTGAGGTGTCTGTCAGTCATGGAAAGCTGAGTAACATAGCACCAGACAATTCTTACCTCTAAATGTTTAAGTTGATTCTTCAAAGCTTCTAGATTGTTATCCACAGACTCTTGGTTTTCTAAAGGAGGTGTCATATCTTGAAGCAAAGCTAAATACTCATGCATTTTTTCAGTGTGCTGTAAACACTGCTGCAATTCATTGGAAAACTAAAAACAAATTTGAACATTTTAACTCAACAGCCTTTATGCAGATTTTGAAAACAAATAAAATATAAGGAATTATTCCTGAATGTTTCATGTAGGTATGTGACTGTCGGTCGATCCTGATACACCAACTCCACTGGATGAAAAAATTCTTAGCATGTTAGTAAAGCATGCTCCTGGGTATGTCATAGAGATGTGGGCATGATACCATATGGCCCCTCACCTCTTCGGCAGTGTTACCTACTCTGCTCTTAGGCTGCCATGAACTGAGCAACTGTGCTCCTTCTGCCATGAGGTTTCTGCCTTGGAGCCTGTTAACCATGTACTGAATTTCCTGGAGCTGTGAGCTAAAACCTTTTCTCCTTTATGTTGTGGATGTCAGGTATTGTGTCTCAATTATGGGAAAGTTAACTAATATAAAATACTTCCACATAAAATATATGAATTGACTTACTTTTTCCATTGAGCTATCTCCAGAAGTCATTTCTTTTAATCCAGCAATACATCCCAAATGGTTTGGGAAATCACTGCATAGGTCTTCAAGCCTCTCATCTCTTGGTAAGTCTGATCCACACACAACAGAGCTTTCTAGTCGCATTTCCTGTATAGTTTGTAAGTTAGGGGAACAGTAGTTTCCTTCCTTGCTTTTAACATCACCAAAAATGTGTGGCTTTTCTTCCACTATCTCAAAAGTGGTACATGCTTTCTGACTCAAGTCTCTCATTTGTTCTTTTTCTGAATCTCCATCAGCAAGCCGCTTACAGAAAGCATTTTCAAGTTGCACTGGAAGTACTTTAGATGAAGTATCTCTTTGCTCTAGATCATACTCCATCTGAGTTAATTCTCTCATCAACTCAAACACACCTGTAATTTTGGGGCTGTGTTGATTTTGCTTCAGTGTATCAAGGAGAAGCTCAGAGTTTACATTTGCAATATAAAAAGAATCATCTCTACCCTCTGCCTTCAGTTCTGATGAGTTATTTATGGGGGATACTCCAGAGTAGTCACTGATTTTCAAGTTGTTGGGCACATTAGATGTTTCATTTACCAAATGTAATGAGCTTATCTTTTTAATTAAAATTGGAATCAAAGCTTCAGAGTCTGCACAGGCTGAAGGGTCACCCACCTCTTGAGGATTCATATTACTTTTCAATTTGCTTTTTAAGATGTCCTTTACATTCTCCACAAATACCTGAGATAATTCAGCAATCTGTCTCATCTTTTCTTGGTGTTCTGGAGACAAAGTTTGTTCTCTTGGTGGCTGTTTCTCAATTCCTTCTTTCTTACTGTTAATGTTTAAGAATGAGTAGTCAGTATTTAAAGTATTACTGGAATTATCATTCCTTATTTCACTTATACAGACCTCTGACTGCATATTATCAGCATTTTCCCCGAGGTCTTCCACATTTTTAAGGGTCAAGACTGGAAGTATGACTTCATTGTTTTCTGATGTGAACTGAGGAATTTCTGTTTCTCCTTGTGAGACATTTTCTTTAGTAATAAGATCACTGTGGTGGAGCTTTTTATTTTGAGGCTGGTCTTCTTGTGTAGGAGTCAAATTGTCTTTTGTAATATTAACTCCTAGTTGTAAATCTTCTCTCATGGACAAGTCAGCTATCGAAACATGGCCAGGGGTATTTTCACTTGGTTTCAGCACATCTTTTGCTTTTATGTTTTTAGCACCATATTTTAGGAAAGTAAGCAGATCAAGCTCTTTCTCAGGCGCATCAGTGAATGAATCTTTCTCAGTAGTGTTACTTCCTTCAGATAATCCAACACCTGAAGTAATGTCGTCACAGATCACCTTGGAAACTGGTGTGACAAATATTTCTTCAAGATCCTCGAATTGAACAGGGCTTTTACTAACCACTGTTTGTACATTTTTTGGTTTCTCCTTAAGAGTTCCAGTTGCCTTCTCAAGGCTTCCTTTCTGATCAAGGTCTTCATTGTTTGTGATTTTTGGAAATGGATACTGACTTTTAACTAAATTGAGGCTCTCTCTTGTACTTTTATTAAGTGGAAGTTTGAGGTACTTATTTTCCTCTTCTTCTGGCCCCCCTGTAAGTACTTCTTTACCTAAGTGTGTTTTGTGGGCTGACATAGCACCTTCCATTAGTATACTGATTTTGTCATCTTTCCCTTTTACTGGATCTCTCCCATTTCCTTGGTGATCTCTGCCAGTTATAGAAGCTGTGAATGACAACTGGTTTTCCTTAGGTTTCCCAATTAACTCAGGCTGAGAACAAATGATTTTATCAAAAGATGGGTTGATTTTGGCCGTCACATTCTCAAGACAGACAGATCCTGGCCCTTGAGTCACCTTGATCTTTGTGTTCATTAAATCACCCTCTAATTCTGAAACTGAACTGACACTGCTATGTAAAATACCTTCAGGACGAAAGATTTTTCCTGATTCAGTGTCTTTAGTGACAGGCAGCAATGTATCTATAAGTACTACCTCATGACTCAACAGATTTTCTTCCCTTTTTCCAACATCCCCAGTTGTGTGTTCCTGAAGGTTGTTTCTTTCAGTAACTAAAATGCTCTTCCTAGTTGATTCCAACTGCAAAACACTTATACTTTGCTGTGTTACTAAAGAACTAGAATCGCACATTTTATCCAGGAGAAGCATTTTAGTACTTTGATTTTCACCACTATTTTGCTTTACAGCCATGGAACACAACTGGTTATCTTCAGCTTTATCTTGGCACACAGATTTTCCATTCTCATCTCCCACTTCTCCTTCTTCATCATCACCATCATCACCATCATAGTCATCATCATCTTGATCATTACTGTCAGACGTACAATCCCCATAACTTTGTTCACTTTGCATAGAATCAAAATGGTCAGTATCAGATTGGCCAATTACATACTCTTTTCTTCTCCAACTGCCAGCGTCATCAAATTCTAATGAGTCACCACAGCTCCCTTTACTTCCTACAATTTCACAATCAGTCAATGAGTCAGACTCACCACCTTCGAGGTAATTTGTATGTTCCCTTTCTGATAATGTTTCCATCGACCATTCATTCACCTTGTCTGAGCTAACTGAACTTAAATATTTTCTGTCACTAGAATCTAACTCAGCTTTCTCAATACCTGTGAGAAAATCTTGAAGACATTGTGCTTTGTCCCTCACATTTACATTGCCAGCTAGTCCTCCCTGGGGAACCACAGAGCTTTCATTCTCTTTTGAAATATCATAGAAAACATCAACAGGAAGAACCATTCCATCATTTTCCTCTTGCAGTGTGTCATAGTCCTCAGGCTGAAGACAATCCCGGATATCACCTTCAAGAAGCAGAGAATCATGGTCATCATCTTCAAACAAGGGGGTATCATAAAAATCATCATCACTATCTGTGTCTGTTCCTGCATCACTCTGCTGATCATCCAGCAGTGATGTTTCATAGTCACCAGCACTGATGGTTTCTTCAAGCACAGGAGTACCACAGATATGACATGCACTGGCATCATCGGTACTGCACCCTTGGGTCATGGCACCAAAGAACTCTTCCATTTCAGATACATTTTGCTTGCCTATAGGTTTCTGCTGAGAAGCAGTACGCATTTGTTCATTCTCACCAAAAGTATCTGACATATATTTATCACTGGGATATTGTACTTGAAGATTACGACAAGCAATATTTAAAGACTTCTGTTCACCATGTTCTCCCTGTAAAGTGATGTTAATAGCTGCAATTCCAAGAAACTGGTCTTGAAAACTTTCTCCCATTCTTTGATCTGATAACATGTTTTCGTTGCTTAATGATAAGGAGGCTTCATACTGACTTCCATCACTCTCTGGGGTGTGCACATCATTAAAACTTTTCTGATTATGCCTTAATTTATCATGACTTAATAAGGTACTTAGCCTGGGAGAGTAGTCAAAGATAGATGAATCCTGGTTTATGTTATCCTCATTCTTTGTTTCACTGATATCACAAAGTCCATCAGTTTTTGATTTCATAACAGGGCTTGTTATCAAATCATTTGCAAAGTTTTGACTTTGATTTTCACAGTTATCAAGTATGTTTCCAGAGTCATGTCTAAGCATGCTAGATTCTGTAGGTTCAGTCTGTTTTACATATGACATAGGATTGGGAATGCACATGCTAAATGAAGTGTTAACTTCCTGATCAGCTGCTATGTTTGCCATGTTTTCTGACTGACAAAATTTACTACTGATACCATTATTTCCCATTTCATCAAACTTTTCATCTATGACACCCTTTTGATTTTTAGGAGTCTCTGTATGTCCTGGTTCTCTACAACGACATTTATCAGACCTAGTTGTTGAAGCTGTACATTCATTCTTTTCTTTACTTGAAGCAAGATTAAGAAATAAATCAGGGCAACCTAAGACATCAAGACTGTCGTTTATGGGTGTGTCCTCACCAAATTCGGCACTGCAGCCTTCCAGGAGCATACCAACAGCCTCCTCCAAGTCTCCATCGTACAGCAAAAGCCTCTGTCCTGTGCTTGCATCCATATAGCTATTAACCATCAAATAAGATAAGAATAATTTCTCAGTCTGTTCCGAGCTCTGAATTGCCATTGACTCTTCTCCATCAAAAACATCTTCTTCTTGCCTGTAATCATGAACTGTAGATGGCTGGAATTTACAAAAAGAGAGCCATCTTCTGGCATTTTTACAAGTTTCTAAATCTCCTAAATCTGGCATTTTATCTGGCAGTACTATATTTTTTAAAATCGATGCTGTATTGTTATCTATAATTCCTAGCTGCTTAGCAACATCCAAACCAATGACTTTAGAACTTTCTGGAATATAGAGAGCCGCTATTTTCTGCCTGCCATTCAGAATTTTGTAGGCCAATTCATTTGTAATCAACTCTTGCTGCAAGGAAGATGATGTGGGGAATATTTCACCAGTGTGAGGCCAAATAAGACCAACATAGCCTTGCTGAGCCTCCAGGACCAAAAGAGCACTGATAGAAGTGATTAAGTTGCACTGGACTGCTTCATCCACTGTTAAGCGTTTAGCTGGGCTGGAGCAGATGATCCCACCCGTCTGAACCTGATAGGTGAGAATACTGTGGGCAGTATTTCCATCAATCACTCCCTTTGCCATGGCTTCTTCAACAGTCAGCTTTTGACCAGAGGTACACTCGATCAGACCACCAGACAGAAGCTGTGCACCTAATAACCGAAACATGGTCTCACGGTCTATGAGACCTTCATGAGCCGCTCTTAGAATGCTTATGCTTCTTCCACATTTTAATGTTATTCTACCCCCTTCTTGTGGTCTCACAGGTAGAAGCCACATTCTGGTACTTTCTTGTAAAATACTTCTTTGTACCATATCTATTAAAGACACCTTCTCAGAGGTGAAGGGGTCAATAAGATTTCTGCATGTATTTTGCCTTTCTAGGACTTTAGAAAATAATGCTGAGGAAACCAAGTTCTGCTGGAAAGCCTTCTGTAGAGTCAAGTGTTCTCCGGTGGCTGGGATAACCAGAAATCCAGTAGAAAACAGGATCTCAAGAACTTTAATGGCCATGGGCTCTGATATCATCCCTTGAGCCAAAGCATCTAGTACAGGAATTTTGGTAGATGATGAAGCAGAAATAATCTCCTTAACTTTATTTAGTTCTTTGAGTTGGCACAGAATTTGTTCATCAATAAGGCCATGACTTTTGGCATCTTTGAGGTTAAAACACTTTCTTAATTCTGGTGAAATTAGACCAGAAATAAGCAGCTGTGTCTCAAGCAACCTGATTCCTGTGTCATAGTCAATGAGGCCTCTTAAAACTGCCTGAAAGACTGAAAGGACTTCTCCAGTTGTCTGATCAATGGTGCCTGCAATCACTTTATTCAGCTGAAAGGAAAATGCAAAAATCTTAGGTCAATCTGTTACACAAAGGTAGGCAGAATTCTATGCAACTTAGTTTTTGTTTCTTATTTTTTAAGAATACACTTCATCATAAAAATCCTCTACTTACCAAGGTGTAGCAATGCTGTGAATGTTAGGCAGCTCAAATGCACAAGTGATCTATGTCAGTGATCTATTCAACAGCACAGGATGTGATAAAAGCTTTGAAAACAACATGCATCTGTGAACTGAAAACTTAATATTGTGTACATTATCAAGGTTAGTGAGGACACAGCAGAGTAGATGATGATAGTGAGAGAACAGAACACATACCTAGAAGGCAAATCATGCTTTCTGTATTTGGGTGAGATTAAGGTCTAGTGATATGAAAAAGAGTATCAAATCCCATGCTACTGATGTTTACAGCATACTGACTACTTCAAAGACACTTAAAAATTAAGGAACCAGAAAAACTGTACATACCCCCAAAATGTGACAATTATGCAGAAAGTATTCTCGGGGAAAATGGAATTACATATAAGTGAACTTTTAAAATATTGAATATTGTGTTTGGCATGTTGATATGCACTGCCAAGTTAAAATAAACTTTAAGAGATGTCTATTTTAAGAAGATACTAGAGCATCCTCACTATAATATATGGACTCATATTATTTGAATAACTCATGGGTATCTCTGAAAACCAAACTCCATAGCACATCAACGCCACCACCAGAGATGACCCAAAGTCTCTTTTATAACATTTTATACTAAAAAACCTACTGTAGTAGAAAATGGCTTTTAAATAGGAGAGTTAGAAAAATGAATGATTCTTTTTTTACCATGCAAGGCAGAGATTAAGATGTCATAGAAACTAGTGATCAGCAAGTGTAAGACTGCATTTAATAAATGACACTAAAATCTCCAAACATGTAAATAAACTTCATCCATATTTTATCTATGTAAAAAATTCAAGGTAATATATTATTGACATATATCTCCAGTCATGCAATAAAAACTAAGTTTCTTGAAACAGCTTCATGTTTAATAAATAATATTACCTTCTCCTCTACAATTATATCTCCTGAGGTTTGTGATACTTCCAGTTGTTTCAGAGATTCACTAAATAATAAATTATATCCTTCTTTAAGAGTTTTCACTTGTTCTTCCAATTCCTTTCTTTCTTCTCCTGTCATTCTAAAATAACCATGAAGTATGAAAAAGAATAAATGCTAGTTTTCAAGTATAAAAAAGACATATTAGTTTCTATGACATCCTGATACGGTCTTAAAATTAAAATACAGTCCTAGGTATAGTACATATTGCTCAGGTCTTGGAAGAACTGATTAGGAAAACTAAGGATGGCCCTAGAAACATCTAGGAGTCTTTTCCTTGAGAAAGGGAATGAAGGAAAGGGTATGGACATGTATCTGTATCTCTCCAGCATACAAATTTCCAGAATAAAAAAACTGCTATTATATGATGTGGGAAAGATCCCACTGTTAGTTCCATCATGGAAAAAGGACAGTAAGGTAGCATTTCTCAAGCCAACGGTCATTTAAATGGAAGAATAAATGAAGAGAAATTTACAAGGAAATTAACTAGATTCCCCTAAACTATAATGCAAACCCATCTGGAATAATCTTAAAGTTCAAAATGGGTTTAAGATAAGGTGGTCCTTCTCTGAGTCACTGGTTAAAATACATGAAGTTTCTTGTTGTGAAAAGCAGGACCAAAACACAGTATGAAAACTATAGCAAAGAAATGAAGCACATCTTTACACATTTTCCACAAGGCAGGCTCAAAGAGCACTACTTAAAAGTTTGAGAGCGGGCTTAGATTTCACTCCTGCCACTCACTGGCTACTAATTCTTCACTCCTCTGAGCCTGTTTTCTTATCAGTAATGTATGTGGATAAAAAATACATCTTAGAATTGTGCTAAAGATGACAATAAATAAAACATTAAGTTTATATACTTTACATTAATTGTAATTAGAGTTCTATTTTAAAAATCTCAATTAAAATTTACCACCATCTGCTTTGTTGACAGTTTTTAAGAACATGTCCCCAACTCTGTTGAAAGACCTAAAGAAAATCAACATACTTGTCTCCATGTTTAGCCAGAAAGAGCTGCATAGTTTGAAGTGCTTCAGATAACTGTTCCTTCTTAGTTGATAATTCTTCACTGGGAATCTGCAAGATAAAGAAGGCACTTCAACTCTTCCCCTAAAAAGACAGTAATAATTCTTTTAAAAACCTAATCAAGTGATAGGTCTATTTTCTTGATGACTCAAATTAATAACCTATTACTGACAGGTTATTGGCCTGGATAAAAAGAGTGCTTTATTTCTAATGCATTATTAAGAAAGGAGGTTCTATCTGTCTTTAATGCCATCATTGTCATGAGCAACTAGTTCATATACGTGTTCTTGCCTTTGTCCCAGCCCAACCATGAATAAATGTGGCCTTAATTCCAAGGGAGCCAGAAGTTCAGCAATGGCCCAACATCATCCTTATATATGACAGTACTCAAAACGATCTCTGAATTTAGCATATTATCTCCAAAGAGTATCTTTATTTCGCTAAGCACCTAAATACAATTTTCCTTTTAAAAATGTGTGGTGAAAGTATTATTGTACAGTCTGCAGATAAAAACTAAACAATGCTAGGCTGGAGGTTTAGCTCAGTGGCATCACGCATGCCTCGCAAGCTCAAGGTCTTCAGTTCGATCCCCAGTAGTCCGTCGTCCCCCGGCCCCCGCAAAAAAGAAAAATTAAACAATGCTAAGACTCTCACCTGTAAAAGCCACTTTTGAGTCAGAGCAATAAAACTGATCTGTTAGGGAAAAGCAGGAGGCTGTAATAACACTTTCTCCTAATTCCTTAGCATATGATTTCAGAATCCTTATTTCAGGGAAGTGAGAGGAAATAATCTACCCTATGCATACTATTTAGAGCCGACTTAAAGTCTAGTTTTCATGATTACAAGTAATCATGAGGCCATAGAGAATTTTGGATGATACAATTATGTACATGAAATTTATTGTCTAAATTTTCTTTAACAGAGATACCATCAAGGATTCTTTGGAGAGCTATAATTATGCTCATGATCTGCATTAAACAGTAACTGCAGGACCAGGGATTTAGCTCAGCAGCACCATCCTACCTTGCAAGCACAAGGTCCTGAGTTTAATCCCCGGTATACAAAAAAAAAAAAAAGTAACTGTCTACTTTTGTGTGTCTCAAGTCCAAATCTGATTTAGTAATACTTTGGAGGATTTGAAACTGCAGAATGTGAAGCTACCAAGGATTTATAATCCACATTTCTGAAGAAAAACTTATTCTCCCAAGAAATCTTTGCTAAGGATCATGTGCCTATTTTAGTTATCTTCCTATGTGAGAGAAAAAGGAAGATGTTTTAAATTAAGTTATCTTCATTAAATTACTTTGAAGGTTTTGAATTCAAAATACCAAATGTAGATGTTTTCAAATTTCTCCTTTCTTCCACACTACAGGACATTAGGTAAGACTGAGAATACAGCTTTATCTTAATTAACATTTCAAGTATATAATCAGTCTATAAACTTCTCCAAATGAGAACTCGAGATAAGGTACATCACAGACAAAAATCAGACAAGACAGTAATGTCTTCTGTTTAATCACGTCAACACGGTGAGGTTTAACTGATGGCAAGTGACACTGAGGCAGAGCTAGAAGAGGGCCTAAATCTTCACATTAAATGACAATGCCTGAAATTTCCAAATATCAGGTAGGGGCAGGAGGACAGTGTTAGAAAAGTATTCCTGGGATGGGGGGCTTAAATCTTGGTGGAAAATTTTTTTTCTTTAAAAACAGCAGCAATTTCTACCATCAGTAGCAGCACCATTAGAATTATATCTTAACTACCAATGTCCTGAGAGCTTCCAGTACTACAGTCCAAAGACATCATGGAACAGTAACATTACACACAGCTATTGCCATCCAATTAATGACGAGTAGTTGGGAGCCAAAAACAGTCTTTAGGACTGAAGAAGCCCCATGGGTAAGGGAGAGAATCTAAAATTTCTACTAATTGACTGTAGACACTTCCTTATTAAACAAAAATGATCCAGAAAAGCACATCTGAAGTTATTATTCCAAGATGTTAATATCCTAACTTGTATTTGCATTGTTCTTAGTTTTTATATTTCCATCTGTAAGAATGAGACTGTGTATCTTCACAAGATGGAGGGCACAGACTACTCTGGAGAGAGAAAAGGATGACTGTGACTCAGCTGTTCTCATCAGTCACCTGCCCTTGAGGGAAAGCAGTACAACCTATTAGCTTACTAATCGCAAAGCTCATATACATAGTTCAGGCTTTGGAATCAGGGATACTTTCTTCTGCCACATACTAACTGTGTTTCTTTGGGCAAGTTACCTAACCTTTCTGGTTTTTGTAATAACTGTCTATAAAAATTATGGTAAAGAATTTAACGTGTTAGGTGAACTCCACAACTCAGTATTATTATTAACCAGGAGCTCTGTGAATACCTTTTGCTTAGAGAAGGGAGATTTTCCAGCCTTCTCTCCATCTCTTAGTGTCTTGCTGATACTTGATAACCATTTCTGCAATTCTTTGGCTTTGTCAACATGGTCTTTCTTTTCTTCTTCCAGTGATTTCTGACAGGTGTGAGTTGGTTAAAAAAAAAAAGACACATTCCAATAAATCACTAAGCTATTAAACTGATCTCTCCACTAAAAATAAAAATATAAAAATGTCTTCTCATCACACATGGGTTACTGAGATATTTTATTCATTCACTTAACCATGTTTATGTCACAAAGCAGATGTACTTCCAAAATATTTACTGTAGCAAAGAAAGCTGTGATAAACATTCTTTCATCCCCAGTCTAACTTCCCAGCAGCTCCATGAATATGACAAAGGAACTCGGCTTTATTCATGAGGCCCTAGATGATTCTAGATGGCTGCCTTTGCATTAGCATTACAATCTGGATTGTCTGGACAGAGAAGTATCAGGCAATGGAAACTGATCATGTCTACTCACAGAAAAATAAAAAGAACAAGGAAAAATCTTCCCCTCCTCCAATACCCAATACATTCATAATGTTAGCTTTTAATTCAGAGAGATTACAGTAAACATTTTAATATGTAAAGAAAGTTACTACATACAGAAAACAAAACTTTTTATTTTTCTGAAGCAGTGCCAATCTGAGCCTCAGGGATAAGGGAATGGATTCCCATCTTTTCCTTCGACTCCATGGTGCTCTGTAGGGTGCTGTTTCACCAAGCACAGCACATCATTTAATAAGGGGAATGAAATCCCCAGGTTGGATCCATACAGGGAAAGGTAGGTCTGAAGAAATGATGCTGTGAAACGCTGAGGTTCATCAAGCTTATTCCACATTGCAGGTAAAACAGGATTATTTTATTTTATTTGAGTCAGGGTCTCATCATGTAGTTCAGGCTGGTCTTGAACTCATTATGTAACCTAAGCTGGCCTCAAACTTATGGCTATCCTCCTGCCTCAGCCTCTGAAGTGCCAGGATCACAGACGTGTACCACCACACCCAGCAAATATGTTTACTTTAGTGTGGGTAAGATTCAAAACAACTATCCTGAAAGCTAAATGGAACCATTTTAAGGGCATCAAATTTTTTGTTATTTTCAATTAAAAATTATTATGTCTTGAGCAGTAAACTATTTTGAAGCTTCAAGAAACAAACAGTGATTTGAGTCAGTTGCCCAATTCCTAGACTACGCGTTTAGCCAATTCCATCTACTCTAGACAGATGGCACGCGGCAGCCAGCACGGCCCCCTTTACAGTTACTTAAACAAGTCTATTAGGAAGAATAGTAAAGACTAGAAATTCCTGTCATCAAAGGTTCAGACACTTCTATCAGTTTAAGTCCTGTGTAGAAATCAAAATCAGCTTTTTCTAAGGCTTCCTTATAAGTCAGCTTTCTTTTGGTCTGGGGACATAATATGTTTCTGATGTATGACTTGTGATCCTTGAGTCTGGTAGCGACAAGCACATCTATGATACCTACTTGGAGAGCCTCTTCTACTGACAACCGAGCATGAGCCTGAGGTTCTATCAAGCCCCCTGTCAAGTACTGAAACTCTAGGCATCGGATTCCCATTTCCCTACTTATGATATTGGCATTTACAGCTTCCACCACTGACATCACTTTGTTAGTGACAGGATGACCAATCCCTGTGATCACCAACTCACACTGTCGCAGCTGCTGGGCGAAGCCCTCATCAACAAGGCCTCTATGCAGAGCTTCAGCCACCCTGTACTTCTTGCCAGTCAGGGGATCGATTACCCCCCCTGTACTGACTTGGGCCTCCAGACACCTGAGGGCAGTAATCCGGTCCACCAAATTTCTTCTGGAAGCCTTTAGTAAGGAGATCCTCTCCCCACTTGAAGTCAGCCAGTAGCCTGCAATAGGACTATGCAGATCTTTCTTGGGAACTAACTGGCTCAGCAAAGAATCAGCAAGCTCTGTAAGTGTGATGAGGCCTTCCTGATACTTTTGGACCAAAACTTTGTCAACTGTCCCCTGCTCTATGGCTTCATTAATATTAAACTGTAATCCTGTCTTGATATCTGTCAGCATATGAGAAGGTTGCCCATAGGATTCAAAAAACGTTGCTTCCTTCCATTGATACTGCTGTTCTGAAAGCTCAAGATAAATGCTTTTGTCAATTAGATTTCTCTGGAAAGCCTCATATGCACTCAGTTCTGCTCCTGTTTTAATATCAACCACAGAAATTTTATGAGTTTTTGCTACACTGAGATTGGAAATGTCCCTTTCCCCAAATGGCAACAGAAAGCACTGGCAATCTACATCGAACACACACATTTGCAACAATTCTGAGTAATACAGAGCTTGCTTGTTATTGGGATTAGGAAAAACTCTAGTATTGCTGGATGGTTCATGCAAAAACTGCAAGATGGCATTATTTAACAAGCCCAGCTGTAGAGCAATTTCTGGAGGAACACGGATGCCTCTCACAGGGTCAATGACGCCCCCACTGGCAATCTGAGCCTCTAAGATATGTTTACCTTTTTGTCTGTCAAGCATTCTATTTTCCATAGCTTGGAATACTGACAATGCCTTAGACGAACAGGCATATCCCAGGGCCGCCTTCTCTGCTTCAAGAAGCCTAATTCTGAACTCAGGCTCAATTACCCCTTTAAGAACTGCATCTTCAACAGAATATGTCTGACCTGAAATGGGATCAATTATAAAACCTGTTGCAGCTTGAGCTTCTAAAAAGGCTAAAGCTGTCATTTTGTCTATTATGATTTTCTTGGCTGCTGACACAAATGAAATCTTTTCTTTTGTAGACTCTAGATAAAGCCCTGCAATTGAGGTGGCTTTTGTCAAAAACTTGCTAAGACTTTTCTGAACTTCCTCAACAGTCTTCAGACCAAGTCGCAGCTGCTCCATAATTCTCATGTCCAGAAGCTTAGCTTCGACCAACTGCTGGGCAGACACAGTGTGCCTGAGCCCTTGGAACTTAAACTCATCATCCCTAACTGAATACACATGATTGCCATCAATGTGCTGGGAAGTCTCTGCTTCTGAGTCTTTCTTAAAGAAATCTCTCCCGAGTCCACCAGACGCTCTGCACCCTTCTGGCATCCGTTCTTCAGCACTAGGAACTGGGTTCTTTTCTTGTTTTAATGATGTGACTTCTGTATGCATATCATACTGCTTATTCTTAACTATCTGCAACAGGAATTTTTAAGATGTTAAGAGTCATCTAAAGAATTTGTGTCACTTGACCCATTCTCAATCCAAACACAATTCCTCAAATTATTAAGATACATCAAGAAAATTTTCAGATGGTGTTTCAGCAGTAAGTAATATTATTTTGAGAGCTTCAAATTTACTTTAGGTGATAATACAATTAAAATGGTATGACTGAGATGAAACTGGGTCACAGAATATGTTAAAAGTTAAAGTTAACTGCTTGGTTCTTCTAGTTTTTTTAGAATCACAGTTTTCAAAATGTATTTCCACAGATATAACAAGATACGCATTAGATCTGTGTTTCATCTCAAGAGATTCACACATAAAAGGATATTTTATAATATTCAAGTCACTAAAAAGTTATAGTATTATAATTCTCTCTGAAGTACAGAAAGCCAAACATATTTTAAAAAGTTAAAAATTTCATATACGAGATCAAAATAATTAAAGAAGAAACTCAACAGTAGTGAGCTGGTAAGGGCTCAGAACAGCATATACCTCCAAGGGGGTCAAAAGCTTCACCAATTCCATCTCATGTTTGTCATCTTGGTACCTAACAGGTGGTCTCGAGTTGTGCAGGGCTTGATCTCTTATTTTCTCTATTTCTGATAGTCTTGTAACAGGGTTTGTCTCATCAAAAGTTATCTGTAACTCAGTGCTTGTTTGAGAAAAATACTCAGAGTAACACTGCTGGCTTTTCTCTCTCTCAAGTGGAGCCCCTGGTGGCCAGAACTGGACTTCTTTTGGTATTTGTTCAACAACCTGATGCTGCCATTTCTCTTCCACCTGCTGTGGCTCTTCAGGCCATCTGAGCAGAGGAGACCTGGCCCTTAGGTGTCCTGTGCTCCTACAGAGGAGCTCTCCAGAGTGCTGATGCTCCCTCACAGTCACCTCAAAGTCTGGTGTGTAGGTGCAGTCTTTGCCAATATTCTTTTTCTGGATTTCACACTGAAGCAAAACTAACTGGTGTTCATGCTCCTTTATCTGTTGGTCCATTTTCTTCTTCAACTTTTCAACTTCACATTTCTGGGCTATCAGCTCATCTTCCAGTTTCCGACACTTCTGGTAATGATTTGCTTCCACATGCTTCCCTTGTTGCATTTGCTCACGGTATTGTTGGAGCTGACTTTCAAGTTCTTTAATATTTGTTTCACAAAGCTTGGCATTTTCTTGAGCCCTGCAGTTTTCTTGCTGAAGAGATGCAAAGTCAAATTTAATGCCTGATATATCCTTTTCAGTGATGACCTTGGACTCCATTAATTTTTCCATCTTTTTCCGAAACTCCTCTGCAGAATGTTTGAATTTATCAGACTCCTCCTGAAACAGAGCCATCTTTCTGTGGGTCATCTGCTCTTCAATGGTCTTTAAGTGCAGTTCATCTTGTACCTTTTTTAACCTGTTATTTAACTCCTGAACTTGAGCTTGCTGCAGCTGAACTTTCTGCTCCCCACGTCGCTTTTCCTCTTTGGAAGCATTCAGCTCAGCATTCAGATTTCTAACCTCTTTTTCAGTGTTCTGGATGATAATGTTCTGCTGGTCACACTTTTGTTTAAATTCACTTACTAAATTCTGACTTTTAACCAGATCTTCTTCTAGGCTTTTAATTTTTCTGTGGAAATCCTGTTCTGCTTTTGTCTGTTTATGTAAGTGTTCATTTGTATTGCGTAACTGATCCTTAAAACCATCTGCCTGGGTTTTCAGCACTTCACATCTCTGCTGGATGGCTTGTTTCTCTAAGACTACATTTTTTGATTCTTCTTGAATTCTCTGCATCATTAATTTGGTTTCATTATTCTGCCTAGTAAGCTCATTAACTTTTTGTTTCAGCATTTCTGCACACTCATTACTTTTCTCCAATTCTTTATTAAGCTTCTGGATTTTATCATTATTTTCTTTCTCAGCTTTAATATTTTGAAGCAACTGCTCATGGCTTTTCTCAAACTGTTCTTTCAGGTGATCTGATTTTCTCTGGGAGAGTTGCCTTCTTTCTTTACAGAATTCCTTCTCATCCTGAAAAGAATGAATTTGGGAATTTAAATACTGAATATCTCTCTCAGCTATAGCATGTGACCTAGTGATTCTGTCTACTTCTTTTTGTAGTTTCCCTTTCTCATGATGGAGAGATTCTAATTCTAACTGATAACTCTCCTTTATTTTCTTGAGATCATTTGCTTCTTGCATGACTTCTTCTGCTTTATCTGTGGTTTGGTTCAACTGCCTACTAAGTTCTCTGAGTTGCTGAGAATATCCCTCCTCTACTTGATCCTTCCTTTCCAACTCCAACTTAAGATACTTTAGCGCATTATCTGTTTTATCCAATTTATCTTTTAGCAAACGAGCCTTTTCCTCAGATGAAGTCTTCTCAAGCTGGAGGGCATTAAGCTCATACTTCAAGTCTCTCATGTCCCTCTCTGCCCTTCTATTGGCAATGGTCAGTTCATCCACTTGCTGTCTGAGTTCTTCTGCTTTCTGTTTGTCATATTCTTTCTGAAAACCTTCTATTCCCATCCGAGACATGGGCTGTGTGATTGCACAAGCTGGTAATGTATTTTCTCTATATGAATACTGAATTTCATTTATTTTTCTTCTTGCTTCCAATTCAATCTTTTGCTTTTCCTTCAACTGTTTCTCTGCCACCTGTTTTTGAAATGTAAGATCTCTTTCCATCTGCTTTACAAGCTTCAAGAGTTCTTCCTCACTGTCTTTCTTTCTTCTTAATTCTTCCATTAACTTATTTTTTTGTTGCTCCAAATCATTCAAATTTGAATCTTTCCTTTTAAGATGATCTTCCAGTGTTCTTCTTGTAAAGGTGTTTTGCTCTAACTGACTCTGAAAATTTAGGAGGTTTGTTTCCACAGCTACTCTTTTGGCCTCGGCCTCCAAGGTGAGCTGCCTCACCCGCTCCAGCTCGAGTTCCGTGGCTTCCTTCTCTCTCACTATGGTCTCCAGTTCCCTGCGGTACTGCTGGGCTTCACTCTCAGCCCTTATCTTCTGCAGAGCAATGTCTTCTACATTTCTCTGCTGTTTTCTCAGTTCAATTTCTGCAGCCTCCTTGACCTTTGGAAGTTCTTCCTCTACTCGAGACTTTTGCTTTTTTAGTTCAGCTACCATTTTTTCCAATTCTTTTATCTTTCCAGTAAGTTTGCTATTCTCAATCACTGTTGCCTTCTGACGCTGAAGCAGATCCGAATATGCCCCATATTCAGAAGTCTCCTTACACCTTTTCATCTACAAGAGATGTTTTTAAAGTGTCAAACCCTTTCTGTTCAAATTAATTTTACAACATCTGAAGCAATATCCTTCTGAGTACTCACAAAGCCAAATGAACCCAATGCGGAGCAAGCACCATCACCACCACCAGCACTGCATTCCTTGGAGAGCAAGCTTCGGCAAGTCAGCAGCAAGAGGAGACAGAAAATCCTCCAGGGTGGGTTTTCTGAAGATTCTTTTTTTGACTCTCAGAAATAATTTCATTTAAAAAATTATCTAACTCATGTTTTATAACAAGAAAGGGCCTTACAAAACATGTAGTATGATCCCAATCTTTTACAGAAGAAGTTGAAAGGTTAAATCATTTTCAAACTCACATAACGGGTAAGTGACAAAAAGGATGCTAACACTTTCACAACAGAGTTCTTTCTGCTCTTAGGGAAAAGTCTCCTCCTATCCAATGAGAAAAACATACAGCTTTCAGGAACCAAATAAAATAAAAGAATTTAGTTTTTAGTAGCTAGCCCAAAGGACACCTAAAAAGATGCTTACATTCCCATGTTTTATGGTTAAAAAGATCAAAATAGAGAACTTCAGAACACAGAGCCAAACTCAGAAATAATACTTAACATAGGAAAGGAGGACGATTATATAAAAATTTGAAATTCTTAAGTTGAATTTCTCATTTATACTTGACACATGGTGGCAATTATAATAATCAAAAGTGCTAATGCAAAGGCAGCCCTTGTCCCTGAAGGCTTGAGAATTTGTGCTTCATATATTCACATATGTGGTGATTGTTATTACTGACATGTTTTCTATGAATCCACCTTGACAAGAACCTCTAGATACCTCACAAACAAAAGCTATTTGTTAAATATAAATTTATTTTAAATATACTCAAGGATTCAGCTCCAGTTATTAAATAAAAACAAGAATTTTTAGTTTACTGAGGTCATAATCTCAGCTGGGAAGAGTCCATTTCATACTGACAGTTCTGATTACAATGTAAGATCACTTTACTAGTATGCTGATAGTTTAGTATCATCACTCAAAATCACCATAGATGACAACAATTTAAACAAGAGTAGAAAAAGCATTTTAGATAGTAGGGTTTCTTTCATTGGGATGCTTTAGTAATTTCCAGAATTTAATTTATATTATAGACCAGTGCTGGCAACCCTTTCAGAGCTTTCAATGATAATAAACAGCTGGCTGTGGAAAGTGTGCCACAGGTTTGCCACCACTGTTATGGACCATATATTATTTTTATTTCTTTAATTTATTGTTGTCTAGTAATTTTGACAAGAGTCTCAGTCATTTCCTTTGCTGACCTAAATGCAGTTTTCTTAAGAATTCACACAAAAACAAATCAAATCACAACCTGATGTACTCAAGGTTCTTCTTTCTTTACTTTGATTTATCAGGTCAACTCTTGGTGACACTGAAGTGTTTTATCTATTTAAAATACCAGGTTTTAATTTTTTATTACTTCTAACAGGGTCTTCCCTAGTTCTTTAAAATGTAGTTTTTGCTAAGAGACTCTGAGCACTTGTTTTTTCTTGATCATGCTGTTTTCCTCAGGAAAAAATATATCTGTGACTGAGTCCTCAATATTTACTTAGAGTCATTTTCATGATTTGTTAATAATCTTTGATTGCCTGGTAACTCTAAATATTTTAGCAAATGCTAGCAAAGTTATGATCTAATGTTGATTTGCTTTCTTATAGATCTCAAGTTTATTCACATAAAAACAACTTCATGTCTTCTCTAAATTTTTTCTGATGCAATTAATATATAATTTGCTCTCAACATAAACTAAAGAATTTTTTCATCAAATCTAATATCCCTTACAGACACTCTATGACATTTCTCTACTTTGGTATTATTTCTGAAATTAACTGGTACCAATCTTTGATTTTATGCTAATTATGAAAAACTCTTGTTTCCAGACTAAGGTTGCTCCACTCCTGTGGCTTTTCAAGAAACACCACTCTTTTGAGTCTAAAAATTGAAGCCTAAAAATCTATTTTTTGTAGGCCACTGTATTAACATGATCCTTAAGTGGTGGTGTTTTTAATCTATTTAAATTTCAGCCTTTGCATATCATCTTCCATAAATATACTTTTTGATTTTTAATTTATTATAAATCTTTGACCTTTCAAAAGATGGCAATCACGATTTCTATTTATTTTTGGCCTTTTAAAATATCTTTTGTTTCTATCAACTTCTGCTTCATCAGAAAAACTGAACCAAGTAGCCTATATATATATATATATATATACACACACATATATAAAATCACAGAAGCAATATGAGAAGCCAAAGAATTATTTTCTTTTATATTTAACTACTATATATACAAATCAAAAATGTGCATGCCATTTAAAATGAAATAAGACTTCTCAAGAATTAAAAAGGTAAAAAAATTATGGATGCTCTTTCATATAGAAGCAGTACATGGCAATTATTAAGATGATACAAATATTCTGGTTCTCTTTCCTGAACCCTAAAGGAAGCTTGCCATAGTTGCAATTAGCTCCATTAGTGATTTAGTGTCAGAAAATAATGTTAACTCGGAACAGACTGAAATAGTTTACAAAAGCACTCACATTTTCAGAAACAAAGAAAGTAACAACTAATAGGCATCTAGTACCTTTTTTGATCTTTCATTGTATGAAATAAATTACATCAACTATAATCACCTTTAGAATTTCAACAACAACCCAATTACAATGCTGATGCCCCATATTTTGCAATTCACTTATATTAGAATTCAATCTACTATTTTTGTCTGTTCTGAGGCTAGGAATAGAAAGCTTATAAAGATAACAGAGCAAAGAGTAATTCCTTCAAGATTAGAAACAACAGCCTTTCATGACAACTTATTTTTATAAGTAACTCCTTACACTCTATTTCTGAATGCAATTTTTTTTTTTTTGGTACCAGGGATCAAACTCAGGACCTTGCGCTTGTGAGGCAGGCGCTGGAACCACTGAGCTAAATCTCCGGCCCTCTGAATGCAATTTTTAAAGGCAGAGTCAAAGCTTAGAAGTCCTCCAGATCAGAATAGTTACATAATCTTTTTATCACGCATCGTATCATTTTGGCAAAAACACAGAGGCCTAATCTCCACGATACTTAAATAGCAGTCTTGTTTCATACAAACTCCTACTCCTTTAAGTTGATGTCTTTTTAATATATTTAAACTGTAATCATTTCTATGAAGGTATAAATCCACATAAAATGCATAAAACAAATGTGTTCATGCAGTATTTCTGTAGAAATCATCATGGTAGTAATGATACTTTAGAGAAATATACTTCTTAGCTGTGACAAAACTGAAAAATTTCTGCCACACTGCCAACATTTCCTAACTTAAGTAGAACCACTTAAGACAATGACACCATCATATTAGGATCCTGAAAGAAAAAATGTGCATTTATTTTCTTGTTTGTTTGCAATGCTGGAGATTGAACCCAGGGGCCTCACGCATAGCAGAAAAAGTTAAAATTTAAAAATGCTTTTCTATTTGAGAGAATCTTTAAAAATAAATAAAAATCCTAGGCCATCACTCTTTTTCAATGCAACTGTATAATTAAATAATTACTTGCATATTATATATCAGCCATATAAATTTATCATGAAACTTATCACTGCTTTCCCAAACCATATCAAAGTTCCCACTCATGTCTAGTTCCTTTTTATTTAACTGCCCATAGTTGTTACCTCCTCCTCTTCCAGTCTTTTTAATGAATCACCGGCAAATTTAATGTATTGTGTCATGAGTGTGACCAGAGCAGTGTATCGTGTCCGAAGGTCCATGAACTGCAAATAAAAAAATAATAACAAAAACATAATTTCCAGTTGCCTTTAGCAAGTTGAATGAATTTTCAGTAATAATTATAGGATTATTTAGGAGAGTAAAGCAAACGACTCCCCTATAATCAGTGGTAACTGGGCAGCCTGTCTACACCATACTAAATACTTCTATTAAATTTAATTATGAAGTATAATATATCTCTGAAATAATAACTAATCTTGAATTGATCTTGATGTTAAAATGGTTTTTTAAGTACATAATAAAATGGATTGTTATGGAATAATAAGAAGAGTTCTGAAAATGAATAGTGGTAAGGGTTGCACAACATTGTGTTACACTAAAATGTCATTAAAGTATACCTTTTTTTCTGGTTATTTGGACAAGGTCCTGCTATGTAGTTTAGGCTGGCCTTGAACTCACTATGTAGCCCAGACTGGCCTCGAACTCATGGTGATCCTCCTGCGTCAGCTTCCCAAATGCTGGGATTTGGGACGCCCGGCTAAAGTGTACATTTTAAAATGGTGAATTTTATGTTACATATGTTTCAGCATAATAAAAATAAACTTATCTTTTAGAATGTTGTTTCTCCCTTTTATACCCTTTTCCCCTCTCTGATACTTTTATTACCTCTTGAATAATGAGATCTGCTGAGCTCTGCATTCTCCGGCGTTTCACTGGAGATTTCTGCTGTGAATCTACCATGGCCCAGTAGGTCATCGTTTGCAATTCATAGTCCTGGGTAAGTCAATATGATAAAATTACAGTAATCCCCTGAAGCTTGCATAGAGAATTAAGCCAAGGAACTGAAATCTAGTTTCACTGAATTATGAATAAAGAAAATATTCTAAAACTACATTTTTAGAAATCAATTTGATCTTTGAATTATTTCCAAGGTCATGATAAAAGAAGAAACATAAGACAGTAAGGAAAGTTCACAGGTCTTTTTGGAAGTTCATAAAAATGTTTATTACAATATTCTAGTTGTAGTCAGCCTCGCCTTCCCCCAGCTCGGCAACAGAACTGTGGATCTGGAAAACTGAGAAATCGTTAATAATATTCTGAAAAGTATAAGAAATGTCCCATCTGTTAGAAAGTTAGACCACTTGCCAACGTTACAGAAAAAAGAAAAAGAGAAAAGTGACACAAAGCAGGTTCAGAGCTATGTATTTATTCTGGTTTGGACAAGTGTGAGGGCGGGAGGTGTGAGAGGTGGTATTTTTTGTTTTTTTTTAATTTTTAAAATTTTGGTAGGGGTGTGTGTGGGTACTCGTGACTGGGGGAGAAGAGAAAGAGAGAAAATAAATCAAAAAGGGGCTTTCACCTGACTCAGATTTCACAAAAAATTATTAGGGAAGTATAAAATTAGTTCAAATAAGGATTTTCTCTTTACATTTCAACACAGAGTTAAATGTTCTTAAAAATATAGTATTAAGGGGGCTGTGACTCAGCAGGCCAGGCCTGGCTGGAGGCCTCAGGACTCAGCCGTGTCGTGCTGCCTGAGCGTTGGTGTGCTCCATGGGCAGCAGTCCAGGGCCGTGATGACAGACTACAATGAGGAGCAGCGAAATGAGCTGGAGGCACTGGAGTCCATCTACCCCGACTCCTTCACAGTATCATCAAAAAATCCACCCAGCTTCACCATCACTGTGACATCGGAGGCTGGAGAAAATGATGAAACTGTCCAACTACCCTCAAGTTTACATACAGTGAAAAATACTCAGATGAAGCTCCTCTTTATGAAATATTTTCCCAGGAAAACCTAGAAGACAATGATGTCATAGACATTTTAAAATTATTAGCATTACAAGCTGAGGAAAATCTTGGTGTGGTCATGATCTTTACTCTAGTGACAGCAGTGCAAGAAATATTAAATGAAATAGTAGATCAGATAAAAATAAGAAGAGAGGAAGAAAAGAAACTAAAAGAAAAAGAAGCAGAAAAAGCAGAGAAGGAATTATTCCATGGCACCCCTGTTACAACTGAGAATTTCTTATGTTGGAAAGCCAAGTTTGATGCAGAACTCTTGGAAATTAAAAAGAAATGGATAAAAGAAGAAGAGCAGGCAGGAAAAAATAAATTAAGTGGCAAACAGCTGTCTGAAACCGATCATAATCTTGACACATCTGATATCCAGTTCGTGGAGGATGCTGGAAATAATGTGGAAGTAGACGAGTCTTTGTTCCAGGAACTGGATGACTTGGAGCTGGAGGATGTTGAGGACGACCCAGACTACAACCCTGCTGGCCCAGGGAGTGACTCAGAGGACTGATGCACCATCTCCGGAGAGCTCCACAGCCACAGCATCTGTGACTGGGCTGAGAGGCTTTTAATTTTCCTTTCTTTTTTTTCTAAGAAAAAATAACTCTCAGGAGAATATTCTTCTGATAACTTTCACCATTGAACTTAATAAACTGACCATAAAACTTCAAAAAAATAGTACTAAAAACCTGAATATTAAATCTTACTAAATCAAATCTTACCTTTACTGTAGCTGAGTACTGTTCTGCGTATTTTTGACACTCATCCATTTTGTTCTGTTTCATTTCTATTTCAGATACCAGCATCTATAAATATAAACAGTTAAAAGAAAGAGGACAAGGAATTCTATGCTATTCTACTTCTTAAAGATGCTCAGGAACTAGGAAGTGTCCACATATCTTAACAGTACAGTTCCTGAGCCCTTTGCACTTAATAAGCAACTTGCCTTATAGGTAAATTGTGAACCACCAGATGAAGACTCATAAGTGACCCAACCTCATGGGGCTTCCAAAGCAGAAATTACTAAACACCATAGCAATTATTTTGAACAGAATTGATGCCCTTAGCTACCACTATTTCTGATAAAAACAGAGTTAGAAATTACTGCTGGCCCCTAAAGACTGAAGAAAAGTTTCAAGGCCTTCAACTGTTTGCCAAATATGACTGTTTAATATTTACTACTAGGCATTTTAATACATGCAGGAACCCACAAAATTATTGCAGCCAGCAAACTATCAAAGAGATTTCTATACCTATAAATGATCATTAGGAAATTTGAAAAAATATCCCAACATGCCTGTTTTTTTTTTTTTGGTACCCGGGATCGAACCATGCCTCTTCTTTATTATCAATGCTTCCAAAAATGACTTCAAGGAAATAAAAGTTAGTAGTGTTTGTAGGTTTGGGTGGCAGGATTTTATTATTGATTATATGTTTCCCACTTTTCTCTAAAGAACTGCTTTCTGTTTTAACATAAGAAAGGAAGATAAGGCTCACGAATGACCAAATGCAGAGACCACCTTGGCACAAACAATCATCATTACATACCTTCTGCTGATTCAACTGTGTGGCTAAGGTTTTGCTGTTTTCAGGCTGATTCTCCTGAATCTTTCTCTGAGTAGTTTCCACCTGCTGGATCCAATCATCTAAAGGATGATAGGTATCTCTGTAGTACTTCAGGCATTTCCCAATCCCCTCTAAGTCTCGTAACCTAAGAGAACAGTAACAGAACAGTGCAGTTTCCCACAGAATCCATGAAGAGCTAGAAGATGCAGGGAAGAGTGAGACAATAACCACCCTCTACTTCTCCAGGGACAGCATGGGTCAGTGTACCTCACTGAGCTGCGGCGCCTGGAAGCATGTTTCCAAGGGACATACACTGGCTGTGAGTGGAGTATGAACACTACTCTCTAGCAGTCAGGAAATATGGTGGTACTGATTATGCTAGGGATAAGGCCAAGACATAGAAGCTAAAACTTGGAAAAACTAGAGACGACTTCACTGTAAGTTTTATCAATCAGAATGTCTTGAATAGCCAAGACTAATATCAAACAGCAGTTCTCTTTTGAAATCAGAAGACAGTTCAATGAATTGTTGAACGTGGTCTCGGCTCTACTTAAATACCTGCTGCTATTTTAAATTCAACACATTGGACCTATGTATCATATATTTTACATACATGAAATAATATGTATATGCACATAATTTTGCTTCTCAAGAACAGAACTATCATAATGCATTCAATTTATGAAGATTTATTTTTATAATGAGAAAAAGATACTAATCCATTTCTTTTCAAATGGCCCCCAAAAGTATCCCATTTACTTTCATGTTTTTAATTCAGTCACTGAGCAAATGATTTCAGTTTTCTTGTATCCTCAATTAAAATGAACATCAAGGCATTTCAATTTACTCACATTTCTTAGATCAAATATTGCTACATGGAGCCCTAGTAAAAAAGTATATGATTCAGTTATTTGAATATCAGTTGACAATAACTACAGAATATATTATTTTTCATACAGAAAGGCAAACAGATTATCTATGCAAATGCCAGAATACATTAATGGTTTTAATAACAGAGTTGAAACATGTTCATTTTGAAGTTTAATATCTTGCTAAAGTCTACCTTATAAGAAATTAATATAACTAGGTAGCAGTCTTGCAACTAAAAGCCTGATAAGCTTAGATTTTCTGCAGTATACATAGATATTAATCTGTGCTTAAACTGAACAAAAAGAGATACCAACCTGTTGTCAATCTGCACATGAACATTTTGCCACCTTTCAACTAACTGATCTGCTTTTTCTTTGTGCCAGTCAAAATCAAGGTCCCGTTCTTTATACGTCTTAAACATTTCATCACTGATGGTTTTTGCTTTCTGCAACTCATCCTCCAGAGCATGGAATACCTCTCTCTTTTCATCTACTTCAGATCGCCATTGCTAAGATACATTAATTGGTGAGAGTTACAAAAATGTATCAGCCAGTCATGGGGAACACATTGTTTACCCAATGTTACAATTTATTTACCAATGACTATATAAAATCAGAAAAAGGAAAGATTACTTTTCATGTATAAAATGTTGTATTAGCTTTAACCTTACTAAATGGCCAATATTTGACCACCCTTTGATCTTTAAAATTGATAAATTTTATAGTTTTGCCCAATAGAATTTGCATATCAATATTTCATAAGCAAACTGTTGCCTCAATAAATAAGTTTTTTCAAATGTTTGTTAGTAATCCCATTGTTTAAAATGAATACATGCATTAAAAAACCACTGAGTTAACTTCACAATGCTTTGCCGTAGTTTTATTTGTTGGTTTATATGTAGAAATTCAGATACATATGAGTACAATCACTAGGCTTTCCCTTTCTTAGATTAACTCTTCTCTTTACTTTCCTGGTATCTTAAAAATAAATATCTCTATTACAAATAATTTAATTTTAAATTTGAACTCCTCTTGCCATCAACATGAAGTGACTATGAAAAGCTGCTGACAAAAGATTCAAACTTCAAATGAAAAGCCCGTTCTTCAAACTAAAATAACCAAATGCATATATTTACAGTAAGCTGTGGAATTATAGACATATGAAACAGAATTAATACATCCAAAAGTACAAGAAAGATATCCGGTGCTTTATGTCTGAAGATGAACTCAGTGTCAGAGAAATACCTGAGGAGTATTATTTCAAAAAGTATGCACAAGTTAAGATGCTCACCTTTAAAGTACTTATTAGGTTCTCAATATTATTCTTGTCAGCTATAACTGCTTCTTCTTCACACAGTTTGGTTTCATAGAGTTTTACAAGGGCTTCTGCAGCTTGAGTGTTTTTTAATACTAAATTGACCGTTTTCAACCTTTAAAAGGGAATTAAATAATAGCCCCATTGTTAAATATTTATTTTTTCATAATGCAGCCCTAAAACACCATTATCACAAATGACATAGTGTATTCTCCATCTGAGAACACTATTAAGAACACACTGACTATAAAATGGCCATTATTCGGCTGATTTGGAGGGGAGACAATATGAGAACTGAACTCAGGGTCTCTGTACTGATGAGCTACATTCCCAGGCTTTGTTTTTATTTTGTTTTGTTTTTTTAAGATGGGGCTAGCTAACTTGCTAAGCTGCCCAGGCTCAGCTTGCACTTGCAGTCCTCTCAGCTTCCCAGAGTGCTGGGATTACCAGCATGTTCCCCATCGTGCTAGGCTTGACTCTTCTTTTACTAGACAACACGTGCTCCAACTCATGCCTACCTCACAGGCGGTATCTTAGAAAAGAGATTCGATCATAAGGCAGTTTCTACACTTGTTTAGGCCAAGCATGAGAGAAAAACCTGAAGGTCTAACAGCTAAGCTAAGAAACTGAAATGTGGGAAGAAACGTGCTATACAGTAATCTCTAAGGCACATCCTCTTCCAACATGGAGAAGCACCATAATGCACACAGATGTTTAATACATCTCTTAAGACAAAATAAAACTGAATATTTATGTTCATATAAATGAATTTTTAAGTTAACAGCATATAAGGTGACAGTTGTTTGAAGCAAAGTACATATGAACACAGCTGTTACACACTTCTCTATGTATGTGGAAGACATGGAGTAGACTTGGTTCATGTTCTGAACGACCACACTGAGCTCAGATCGTAGGGTGGGTACAGATGGAGAAGTTGCTGCCTGACTGAAGAATTCTTCACACTTATTTGTGATTGATCCCAAATCATCTTTAAGTCGTTCCAGCTCTTTCCTTAGTTTCTACAAAACAGAGAACGAACAAAACAGGTATTAGGCAACTACGCCAAATAGTTTTCTTAAAACAATATTTTTCTTAAAACAATTTAGAAACCAATTTTACACTATGACCACTGACTTAAAAAAATTTATATATTCTTCACTTTTTCTTCAACAAAGAAGCTAAAATATGGCATTCCAGTTCTACAATCAACAATACAATTTCTTTACTGTCTGTGTCCTTAAACCCAAACACCTAACTTAGCACTCTGGCACACAGCAGGTGTGTGAGGCCTCTGAGAAGCCCAGCAGGATGACCAAAAGGGTACCTGCTCCTGTATTTCCCCAGGTCAGAAGTGGAACTGAACTATAGGACCTGGGTTACAAACAGCAAGAAATATATGATTAGACGTCACCAGTAACCAGTGTGCAAAGCTAAACACGTAAGAAATTACAGGAGGTGACATTTAAGGTCACTAAGAGACTACCTTAAGTTATTTTTTCCAACACAGGTATAACTCTCACCTCCTGCTCTGCGATTCTGAACACACTTTCATGCAAATCGTCTCTTTCCAGGGGAGTTCGGATCTGTCTAATCAGTCGATCTTCACAGTTCTCTAACCGAAGTCTAATGTTTCTAACTTCAGAGATGTACAGATTATAAACTGATTCCTCTTGCTCCTCTGTGAAAATAAATGTTGTTTACAAAGTATCTTTTCTATTTTGGATGCTCTTGTTCCTGTTTTAACAGCAGCTTTACTATTACAGGTTTACAGCTAGTCAGACAAATTGTTCAGAATGGTTCCTGTTATCACAAACTCACTTTAGGGTCATTTACCTTAAAATGACTTAAAAATTAAGAAGAGTTAATAAAATTTCCTTAACGCCATCTGAAGTACTAGTTCTGATTTATGATGTCTAAAGAAACTAACATGTTGTTCTTATGTTCATAAAAAATTAAGTTATGTTGCAGGTTAATCATAAAACTTATAAATACTTAAAAGTGAAAAGGAGGTAAAATATAAATTTCAATAAAAGTGAACTAAACAAAACCTTTTGCTTTAGCACTTGTATAAAATTGTATATAGGAAAACAATTAACTTTTCTCAAAATGAAGGATCACCATTCTGAATATTAGCTAAAAACAGAGAAAATGTTGAAAATAGATGAAGAATTCATCATTTGTTGCACTATATGGTTAGCACCTTTTTGTTAATTCATCATTAGAAATTAACGAATACCTTTTTTGCATCTTCCTATTTCAAACATTTTTTCTTGTCTTTTTTTTTTTTTCCTTTTGCAGTGCTGGGGATAAACCAAGGACTTTGTGTATGCTTACCAAGTACTCTACCGTTGAGTTACACCCCCAATTCTCAGCTTTTTCCAGTGTTCCAGCAATTGTGTCACTTATCATAGGCCAAGTGTATAATAAACTTGAGATTGAGATTTCCACTGAGAGTGGAAAATAGTATGGATAAACAACCACTGGGAAAAAAAGACAAATCCCTATACTTTACCTCTTTCTGCAGATTTCAGAAGTTCTTGATAATACTGCTGACATACATTAACTTCTTTTTCCAGTTGTGCTATATCTGAGCCAGAAAATATTTGGGATTCCTGGCTATCTTCCAGAAAATCTTCAAAGTGGGACTGTAGATTACTTAGAACCTGCTGGTGCTCACCAGGCAACATGGTCTTTATCTAAAAAGGAACAAAGGCCCATGTACTAAGAGTTAGAGTGGAATGGGATCTCAAGTTGATCTCATATAATATTCCAGCTTATATTAATAGTCATAAGTAAAAGAATAATTTGAAATTCCTACTTTTTTATTAGCAATTTCTGGTTTTGAAAAACAAGTATAAAATTCAATAAATGAAATCAAACTATACCCATTCTCTGTATATCTAAACACTATGTCCTATCTTCCTGTCTTTCAGCAAGCATGGAATAAAATCTGTGATCTCCAGATTACAGTTTAGATGAAGAACTTCCATCAGGAACCTCATGTGCTCACAGGAAGGACTTTTGGAAAGTGACTGAATCATGGGGGGAATATAGCTGACTTGCTGTTAACAGAAGTGAGTCACTGGAGGCCTGACCTAGAAGGATGTATCTACCTCCCAGTCTTGTCCCTTCTCTCTTTGCTTCCTGGCCACCATCACGTGAGCAGCTTTCTACTGCCCAGGCCCATCCACCAGGTCTTCCTGTCATGAAGCCAGCTGACTATGGACTGAAAACATTAGCCAAAATAAACTTCTCCTCTCTAAGTTGTAGGTGTCAGATATTTAGTTCCAGTGAGGAAAGTAAGACATTCTTAGAAAGTGTCTTGTATATGACAGGCATGTAACAGGTATTTACTGAATGCTTAAACATTAGCATGGATCTGCTGGACTCCATCTTATTAGAGGCAAATATCAACTATACTCCACTCAGGACAAGATGTCCAACATTTTTGGACATACTAAGATGATGTGTACATTTATACTTACTGAAGCCACGTTGCTAGCTCGAATTCTATCAATTTCATTGATGAGATAATGCCAGGACACTACACTCTTCATGTTTACATGAGATTCATGCCAAAGAGCTAGGACATTCTGATATTGTTGCTCAATTCTGAAACATATGAGAGAAAGCACATCTTTTTATTGCTTCTTCTGAAAACATGCTAAACCTTGGTCCTATGGAGCCTTGTCAAAGCACTGATTGTTTAACCTTCAGAAAGCCTCCATACCAGCTGTTTTTAGTATCAAATGCATACACACCTATTTGCACAGTCAGCTGCTTCTTTGTTTGGTGGAGGAACAGTGAAGCACACAGATGGAACCATAGCCTCATTCCCAGTAGGACTAATGACCTTCCATTTAGCACGATGAGAGTTGTTTGCCAAAACACATTCATCATCTTTGTAAATAGTTATCTAGTTTTAAATAAAGAACAGAACAACTTAATGAGGTCATTATTTTTTATTTTTTGGTACCAAGGATCAAACTCGGGACCTTGTGCTTGTGAGGCAGGCTGCAGAACCACTGAGCTAAATCCCCGGCCCAATGAGGTCATTATTAACTAAACCTTTCCGTACTCGATTTTGGGATTTTCTCATGAGGTGTGAAAACTTTACCAAAAGTAAGCATTATGATACCATTTTAAAAACACATGAATAAGCCAGGTGTGGAGATGCACATCTGTGATCCCAGTACTCAGGAGGCAAAGGCAGGAGGATCACCATGACATCAAGGCCAGACTGGTCTGCATAGTGAGTTCAAGGACAGGCTAAACTATACAGTGAAACCTTGTCTCAAAACACCAAAACAAAAAAGGAATAATAACAGAAACTGCTCTGTTTTAGGAATTATAAGTACCTCAATTTGTCTGTAGTCACATATAGCTTTGATGGGAATAGAAGTTTTGAGTGGACAGTCAGAATTCCTTGGCTTGAGCTGAATTATGGTTTTGGCTCTCCCCATCAGGCTTGCTACTGTGTTCTTGTACTGCAGAAGCTCTTCTTTCTCTTCCTAAGTAACAGAGAGAATGGATTCTGAAAAGCAAAAGACTTGTACTCTCCATTCCCTCAGGGATTTACATAAAAGAAACTTCACCAGCAAAGTATTCCCTGACCACCAGGTCTAAATTTTCAGTCTTTTCTCAATCCCTCTTGCTTCCCTCTTCCCTTACTTTGGTCGTCAAACATATATTTTGTTCAGGTAATATGTAATGTTTAGCTCCCTCTCCAATATGTAAGCACCATGAAGGTAGATTTTTGTCTGTTTTGTTCACTGCTTCATCCCTGCAACCTAAAATAGTGCCTGGGATAGAGAACATTTTTAATAAGTATTTGTGAAATGAACAATTAAACACACCCATACAAAGAATACCATTAAAGTATTTTAAAACAAGAAGGCTATCACCTAAAAAAAACCAAAAAACCTTTGTTGTATTTATTATTAAAAAATACTAAAATAGTGTTTAAATGCTTACTTGAATAAGGTGGAAATACCAAATGCCAATAAGATATAAAGTTCTGCACATATAAAAATAAAATAAAACAGTAATTGTTAGTACACATTAGTAATGAAACACACAGGTTTTTGTATTTGTACCATTGATTCCTGAACAAGGTCTTCCAGCTTGTGAATGCTGCTTGATCTGTCACAGCTGTATTTCCGCTGAATGGCATCTTTCAGATTCTTTAAGTAATCAGTAGCTTCTTTGGCATCACTGAAAAACTAAGAAAAGATAAAATGTGGCAATTAAAATATGCTAGATGCCTGTAAAGCAGAGTTGTCAAGTTTGGGAGTCCAAGCCCCGAGTACCACTCATAACTGAGCACAAAATAAAGGCACACACACAAAAATAGGTACATCCTTATCTGAACCAAATCCTGGACGGTTCTAAGTGGATGCTAGGTCTTTAAAGTTTGTATGTGTATATCATGTTTTGGCTCTGTATTACTGTGATAGAAAGTCTATTTTACTTTAGGGTTCTATTTTGTTTGTTTTTGGTACCAGAGATGGAACTCGGGACCTTGTACTTGCGTGGCAGGCGCCGGAACCATTGAGCTAAATCCCTGGCCCTCTATTAATTTTTAAGTAGGGTGGAATTCTAAGAATATCTTAAATCTCCTGAAGAATAAAATGAAGAGCTCATTTGGTTTATTGTCTATAATAAACAGCATTTCCTTAATAGGAGATGTTGTTTGTAGAATAAAAAGATTATATGATATGTTAGTAAAGATTTCTGTCTTAAAAGCATGCTACAATCTCTCCTCTAGGATATGAAAGCAACCCTTATGTCCTACAAGAGAAAAACTTTAGTTATATTACATACATGTCTGCAAATTCTAGTAACTTATGAAGATTTCCGAAAGCCAAAATCCCAATACTATCTTTTGAAGCTGTGAGTCCATTCCATACCTCAAAATAAGCAGTGTTCTCCTTTATGTGCTGTTCCACACACTGGCAGAGCTGTAAGATCCAGCTCCACTGTGTCTGCATTGCTGCTTTGTAGGCCTTAAAGATAAAACACAGTCACTGAAGCTGGGTGGAGAGAAGTAAGTACAGGGGACTGGGACGTGGCTCTGGGGCAGAGTGCTTGCCCAGCATGTATGAGACCCGGGCTTCTATCCCCAGCATAAGAAAAAACTAAAGGCAACAAAAAGAATGAGGCATGTGCATGTTGATGCTGTTTGAACAGTAAAACACTTCACTATCTAAATAGATGATGGACTGTTCTGACAGAATAAAACTTGGACATCAGGGTAGTCAAATGTTTCTCTGAAAAAGGGAGTCCACAGATCCTATCAGTGTGATTCTGAGATTATGTTAATTATAATACATGAATTTTATTTAAAAATTGTTTACTTGAACTTTAATACAAAGTGGATCTTTCATGAAGGCAATAAATACTGTAGAAAGGATATCTACTTCATAAATGTCACCCTTTTATAGTCACGGTGCAATTCGCTGCCTTCCAGGAGAGGGCACACTCAATGCTTTAATAACTGCAGTAACAAGCCTGTCATCTTTCCTCCCTTTGGAACACTCCTTCCTGCTGAGCTATGTTCAGGCAGGCCTTCTGAACATAATGTACAGGGCAGCACTGGAAATCTGCCAACATATTATGCTCACATTATCTGCTCGATCAAATTTGGCTACCTCTGTGTTTGTTGTTTTTTGGTGCTGGGGACTGAACCCAGGGCTGTGCACAAGCTAAGCATGTGCTCTACCACCGAACTCCTCCCCAGCCCCTCACACTATTTCATTTACTCTGAGTAAACTGGCGATAAAAGACACATCACTGTACACTGTTAGATTGATATTTTACGTGAAAAAACGAGTCAGGTGTTGATAATTAATTAAATACTATCTATCTATCCATAATGAATACTGGATAGGCCAATGGCAAGGTGACAAAAGCGTCATTTTACCCCATAAAAAACTTTCAGTTAAGTATCATTTCTACATAAAGGTAATCAGATTCACATTCCTATTTTCCATTCCCATCAAAACTCTTAACATATAATCTTATTTCCTAACTGCTTTCATCTCTCTATCCTAAGGAATACTCCATTTTTAGTTTATTATTGCACAAAAGTATACCCAGAACCTCCATTATTCTATTTCCTTTCCGTACTGAAGGCACTACTCTTGTCTTTAACATTTCTAAGTGGAAGTTCACATCAATACAAAACCTTACATATATCAAAAAGATCAAATATAACATTCCTAAAATATTCCTAATGAGCCCTAATATTTTCCTAGCAATTTCAGAGGGCAAAAACTACGTGATTCCATCCCTCAATTTTGACTCTGAAGCATGTCAGCTTTTATCCACAGCATTTTCCCACTGGCACTATATTACTGCACCAGTGTGCCAAAGTTGGATACTCTCCACCCTCCAACATAATCCCCTTCACATTCAGAAACAATAGTCACAAACTCTTGACTAGAACAAGTCAGCCCTAAAAATTAAAAACATCACCTGCAACAGCTCCTCGAGCAACCTGATAAATCCAATGTCAATTCTCAGCTTCTGTTTTTGAAATGTTCACTACACACCATGAGTAGGGTGCTATCCCAATATACTCATACATCACAACACCAGCTCATAAATAAAAGTATTAAATTAAACCATAACATATCTTGAGAACATATCTAGTTCCAAGAACTAGACTAAGGTGGTCAGAGAAAATTATTTCTTCTCATTCTCATTGCAATTCTATGGAAGCAACTTCCAGATTTTTGGTAGGGAAATGGTTGCTAAGATTATATCTACTATAGTCACACAGTCAGGAAAAAATAAAATTTCAAAGCTTAAAGACAAGTCCTTCATATCTAAAATACTGGCCACAGAAGACAACAAGGTACCTTTATTCTAAATGCTAGCTGACATATTTAAAGAGCAAGAGAATGAAAGGCAAAATCAGCACAATTTGTTAGAAATATTATTTTTAAGCCACAATGTAATAAATTTAGCAGTTTGCATTTTTCAACTTAACAGCAATGAAAGAAGGATAATAATCATATATCAATATTCAACTCAGACTGTAAAACTTTCTTTTTTTTTTTTTTTTGGTACCGGGGATCAAACCTTGCACTTGTGAGGCAGACAGCAGCACCACTAGCTAAATCCAAAGCTTTCCTATACATTTTCTTAATTTGTATTTTTATAACTAAAGCATCAAATTTACACTGCCTGGTTG